CAGAGAAATGCCCCCCCCCCCCCCCCCCTGTCACAACTTCACCCACCATGCCAGACCGCCCGCGCCGCGCCCTGCGCCTGCTCAACCCCCGCTCGCGCCACAAAACGCCCCCGCCCTCCGCCTCCGACCTTTCCCCCTGGGCCTCCCCCTCGCCCCGCACGCAGTCACTGACCCCGCCACCAACCCCGGTGGTCACGCCCCCTTCAGACGCCTCCGCTACCTCTCGCGGCTGCGAAAGCCTCCCCGCCGCTTGGCGCCCCGACGCCCCGCCCACACACGCGCCCGACCAGCTCGACCAGCTCGACCAGCTCGACCGGAGGGACCGCCGCGTCGGCCGACGCTTCCAGCCGACCTCAGAGTGCGCGTGCTCTGCGCGCCGCCCCGAGCCCGCCGCCGCCGACGAGCCGCGCCGCATGGACCGCATCACGACCCCGCTGGACGCGCATTCGGGGCCCGCGTCCCCGCCACGCGCCTCCCCTGTCCCTGCCCGCGCCCACGGAGAGACGGCCGCCTACACGCAGATCCCGCCCGCAGTGCTCGACGTGCTGGCGGCAATGCGCGCCGCGCAGGAGCAGCAGACGGAGCTCGTCGAGGCGTCGCTGTCCGCGGCCGCCGCGCAATCGGCGCGCGTGGAGGCCGCGCTGGACGCGCTGCGCGCGCGGGATGTAGCGCGCCGGCCAGGGCCAGCGGAGATCGTGCTTGTCTCGCTTGTTAATGCGCTCGCCGCTGTGCTGCTGTATGTTTTTACGTGGCTTGTTGCTAAGCCGTGCGGGGGCGTGTGGAAGGTCGTTAAGAGAGTCAGGGGGGAGGAGGAAAAGAGAAATGTTTGTAGGAGGAGCTGGAGACTGTCCGGTGTGGATGGGCTCGGGAGTGATCCGTTTCTGAGCGGCGCCGCGAAAAGACTGTCGTATTCGGCCGCTGCATTGCACGATTAGAGCTTTTCGGTTCTTCGGCGCAGTTTTAGAGAGCGCGGGGGCGCGGTTGTTTGGAATCAGGACGATAGCTTGTGAATAGTAGAAGGGTGTACGTAGGGTGTACGTAGGGTGTACGTAAACAAATACCCAAATCGTGATAATTGTGAAGTACAGTATTGCTTTGCGTCTTACTCGATCGGTGTACAGTTCTTTAGATGATGCTCTCTATCCTGCACAGGGCATTTCAATGGTATGTTTCAGTACCTTTGTAGCCCATAGGCTAGCTTCATCCGCGATAGCGTAGGGATGTCAGAGGAGCTATTGGGGGCTAACTGCCTCTACGTTTTAATCATTTCCTGTGCTTTCCGCGATATGTTCAGAAGTAAGATGCCTTCGATCTTCTCGGTCGCGCCGAGTTTCGTCGGCGAGATTCTTCCTTTCGAATCTCTGCTAATCTTGTCTTTTCTAGTTTCTTCTTGTTCTTTTCCTCCAATTCTATCAGCGGCGCTAGGTGAATGTCTCTTATCCTTGAGGCCAGGGTCTGATCCCGAATCGTCTGCGTACTTTCCAGGGCAGCTGCCAGTTGCTTCATCGATTCCGAATCAGAGCACTCCGGCAACAACGCGCCAGTTCCTTTTCTCTTGTACCCAGAGTAGATGCGCGTTTTCCCGACCTTGTAGTGAACCCTCCTCTTGCTACACCGCCCCATCGGAAGGAGACGATACCCTTTCGCTTCGATCGCGTTCTTCTGATGGGTGCACTCTAATTCGGCCTCCCTGATTGCGTCCCTGATGCTTTGAGATGTCTCCGCCGCCACATCGCAGAGACTCAGCATGATGCCCAACCTCACGTTCCAATCCACGTTCGTGACGAAATCCAGGCCGTTCTCAAACCTCCCCAAAACATTCTCATGGTGGTCGTAGCAATCCAGGAAAGCGGCGCGATTACTTCCGACCAAGATTCGCAGGCTTTGAAACCAAGTCGTCGCCAAGCTCTTCTTCGTGGCGGCGCCGATAGTCAGGAGCAAAGTCATGATAAGATCGCGCAAGGCCAAGCAAGCGCGCGCATCAACTTCAGGCTCCACTACGGCGCCTTCGAGCAGGCTCGGGGTCAAATCTTCGTAAGTATCCTCCGAGATCTCCTTTAGCGGAATGACATCCTTGAAAGCCTCGAAAAAGTGCGCCACAGACGCCATCTGCCATTTGCGCTGCACTCGCTCACGTTCGGAGAGTTGATTGCGAGCGGGATGTTGCAAATTTATGGCGCTAGAGGATGCTGGCGGTCTAGACACAAGATCGATGGGGGCCTTGCCATTGGCGTGAATGGCCGGCGAAGTGCGGTCGCTGATGGTCGGCAGGGTGCCGTTGATTGCCTTCAACGACGGGTGCCCATGCTCTTGAGCGGCGCCACTGCCCATTTTTTCGCGGACTCCGACTTGGGGTCAGGTTCACAAACCGCGGACGAGACCAAGGAAAGAACGCTAGGGTCTGATAGTCAAGGCCTTCGTCCGCGCGAACAAAACAGAACCACAGAACACCGCGGAACGGTGCGTGCAGCCCCGCAACAGCGAGAAGAGAGTTGGCGGACGATCCGCACGCCGGTGACGCAGTCGCGGAAGTTGGATGGCGCACCGGCGGACAAAGGGAGCGCCTGAGCTACTGGGAGGAAGATGTGGCAACTGGGAGACGAGTTCTTCTCCCCGCAAGCATGCCGAGGAAGTGTGTGCTGCTGGAAATGCGGAATGGAGGGGAAAGCGATGTGATGGGTTTTGATGTCCAGCTGGTCGGTGGATTACACGCAGGTGCCTAGGTGCCTGGCACTTTCACACTGTGGCCACGGGTGTGGTATGGAGCAGCAATTTGCGCCAATGTGATTGGGGCGAGTTGGGCTTGGGCGCGCAAGGGCGAATGATTTCTCAGTTATTTTTGGCGGTATAGAGTGCAGGCGTAAATACGAGTTCATGCCATTCCCGCCAAAACTATTTGTCGAGTATAGGAGGTATCCTTGCTTCCTGCGTATATCTATAAGTGAACCCTCTCGATATGGATACGCTCGGTGGACGTAATCCGTATCCATTTGCAGAGGTTATTCACATCCGGAGACCGTATCATAACAGTGTCACGGTGACCTGCATCTCTCAGAATGTCTGTGCTTTACTTAAAAAATGTATTTATCGTCGTCTGGACTGTGCAATTCCCCGTCTTGGTACGCAGAGATATCGGGACGAAAACCATACTTTCCGTTGATGATGCGGGACATGACAGCTTGAGCAGGAGGTTTGGAAGGGGAAAACCGTACTGAGGCCCACTTCGCACCCCTAAATCGTTTCTCAGACGAAAGGCAGCACTGAAGCATACCAAAAAACAGAGGCATCGACTCTTCTTCGATCTTTGGGAGTGATGAAACCCCCATAAAGCTATTGGCATGTCGACGAAGAAATTGCATTTGCAAAAGAAGGGAAAGTGGATAACATTGAACAGCTAATGACTTTTTTGAGCACCTACTTTGGTTGCTTTCATGAAGCGTCGGGCTGCCTTCGTCTTAGAACAGCATTCCGAGTAACGTACCTGTGTCTAGACCACAGCGTCCTTCCGTTTGGCCTTGCTGGTCCTCCCATATCCAACGTTTCATTCTAAAATCTAGCCGTATTTGAGCTGGCGTTCTGTGTCTGGCACAGCAGCGAAAATGTAGGATCGGTGGCTGTCGTGCCCCCATTCCCATATCGATACCAGGAATCGGAGATGATACGGCTATGTCATGCAGTAGGTCCTTTCAAATGTCAGACTCACTTCTGTGGTTTTTACACGGGTCCGTGTGCCTGCAAATATATTTTGGTGAATAATTGAACCAAGAAAGATTAAAGTCAAAAGCTCAAAAGGAGGCCATACTTAAGAGTATAGCACAGAGACACTGAGCCTATGAAGTTGACAACCTGTGGGAGAACGGGAACGATGAGGTTAGTAGTAGCCGCGCTCGTCGCACGCAGCGGCGGGGGAAAGGAGTCGCGAGAGCGAGGGGGATGGGGATACTTCGGATGTCGAGTCTCGAGACTTTTCGCCGGCGCTGTCGGAGGGTAGCAAGTTACCCCCGAGGGTCGGTCGGGATACCGCCCTCGGATTTTTATATATCCGGATTTCCCGCCGGCGCGTCGAACGGATAATTTCCCTTTTTCCCAGATTTAGGGCTAACCAAATAAAGTGCAATTTCTATCTTCCCACACACCCCCTGTTGGCCCTAAAATTGGGGCACGCGGCGCCGGCCGATCCGCCGTCGGCGCCAACCCTATATGGATCTGACGCCGCGCCGCCGCTGCTCGGTACTCGATCCCTTGTCCTGACCACGCGGCGTTCTGGATTTGCGTAGGGTAAGGGCGCTTGCATCTTGAGTTATCCCCCTTTCTCTCGCCGCGCCCTTTCGGACCCCCAAATCCACCGCAGACCCGCAGCTTCCGGTAGTCACCACATGCGCACGCCCACCGCCAGCCCTCACTATACACTGGCTCAGTTCAGCGTCCGCTCGATCTCGCGCACCGCATCGCTACTCCGCTTCTCACACCACGTCACCGCTCCGCTTCTCACACCACGGCGCCGCTCCGCTTCTCCGGCACATCGCCGCTCCGCTTCTCACATCACGTCACCGCTCCGCTTCTCACACCATGGCGCCGCTCCGCTTCTCCGGCACATCGCCGCTCCGCTTCTCCGCCATCACTCCCGCGCGCTGTTGCTTCCCCACCTCCGAGCTTCCACCAACGACGGGCCGTTTCCTCCGCGAGTCAGCGCGCGACCTCCTCGAACCTAAAGAGTGCCGGCAGGCCAGGGATCGGGGGTCGTGCGCTTCCTTGCGTGATGGCAGGCCTGTGGCTCGTTGAGGGTAAGGGGAGGCTTGCGGTCGAGATGATGGCGTGGCTCGGAGGAAAGTGGAGGTCTAGCGAAGTCCTCGTCGTGGCCCGGGGCCTCGAATTCACCTTCAGTCGGGAGAGGATTGCTCAGAGGCTGAGCATCGGGACGGAAACATCTAAGGTTCTTCTACGTTGGCTGTCGGATAGGAGAGGGAGGATGTTTGAGGTTGCGTTGTTGGAGAGATGGGGCTTGCTTAACGCAATGGGCGTGTCGGAGCACGAGCAGCGCCGCTGGGAGGTTCGAAGGGTGGTGATGGCTTCCGGAAGGACTCACGGCTTCCGCCCGGGTCAGTACTACGCTTCACATCGGAGCGTAGGCGGGCGCAAGACCTTTTGGAAAGTGGACTTCTATACTCTCCAGGCCAGCGTGTTGTCCGTATTGGATTCGGCAGGAAGCCCAGTTACCAGCGACATGGAAGTGACTTGTCCGGGTGGCCAGGGGAACTGCGAAGTTGAGCTCGTCTTTGGTACTCGGAAGACAGCACAGGCCTTGGAATGGCTGGACGAGTACTGTACCAGTCATCAAGACGATTTCGTTGTTATTGGGGGTCCCGGGCATCGCGAAGCCACTGGACTCACTAGGCCTTATCGTACGCACCAGGCACTCTTCTGCCGCGCAACACACAGCGAGTGCGTGCGTGCTTCCTTCGCTAACGCACTACACTCCGTTGTAGGGGAAGATCCGGCACTTGGAATGCTCCGCAAAGGACCCATCAACGCTCGAAGCCTTGCAGAGTTGCAGACCTGGAATGAAAAGCATCTCGGGAGGTATCGCCTCAAGAAATGCAGCGTCCCCGTGCTGGAAAGTCTTGCGGAGTGGATGGTCAACAGGGTGGACGGCACTTTCTTGATAAGAATCGTCGCTCTGGATGACCTAGGTGAACGTTTAGACCACGTGGTGGTTCTTGACGCCCAAAAAGGCCACGTTCTAGATCCGGTTGAGCGCTTTGCGCTTGATAATCGCCCCGGAGTGCTGGGTGCATGCCTTGGAATTGGTTGCGATGGCTTTGAAATTGCTGAAGTTCGGAAGCTTGAATTGCAGCCAGTCAGGAAAGGGAAGAAGAATCGCAGGAAGTCTGGAAAACAGCGCAGTGAAAGCAGGAAGACAAAGAAGAATCACATGAACAATGATTTGGCTGGTAGAAGGACTAAGAGGATGAGGGTAGTGGAAGACGACAGCGATTAAACGAGTTCGAGAGTTACATTGGCATGCTCGATGCTCTTTTGATCCGCCTTGAGCCTTGAAGAACCTCATCTTCTAGAAGACCTTTCTGCATGATTCCATTGAGGATCTTGAACATTTCTACGTTCCTCTTGGTTAATGCATCGGCAGGGTTTTGCGTACCGCTTACCCATTGCATTACTGAAATTTCCCCGTTTTCGAAGGAATCCCTCATCCTTGCTACCGTCGGCCTCAAGCGGTAGTCTGCACCTTCGTGAAGGGTGGTCACGGTGGAGTACAACCCGTGTGAGTCCACCGTCAGCACGAAGGGAAGCTTGACTGGGGCTTTGTGAAGAGTTTGCAGGCTCTCTGCCATTAGCGAGCCTCGGTCTGATGACGTTGCGGCGGCAAGAATCTCTGCCCCCATGGATGAAAAGGCAACACGCTTCTGCTTGCAACTGATCCAGTCAAGGACGTGGTAGATCCCCGCACCCCCTGCTGGCAGGTATAGGCCGGAGACATACCCTGTCTGCCCGTATGAGGAGCTACCTTGACTGGCATCAGAAAAAGCGAGGTAGGAAGGATTGACGAGAGATGACGGCGTTCGAAATAGGAGCGTCGGGGAAAGCGCTTTGATCTCCACAAGCAACTTGTTCCCGTTTATAAGATCGGCCACCTTCAAGCGCCCAACGGCTTGCTGAAGGTAGCTGGCTGCGAAAGCCGCTTGCGGGAGAATGCCATGTCCGAGGAAATTGAGACTTCCGGCGAGAGCTTGGTATGAAGTCAACTCTGGAGCGGTGCACTTGTCTTGGTGTCGTCTTCTTCTTTCCTTTGAGACTTCGATCGGAAGAATTTTGTCCACGTACTCTTGCATATTAATGCTTAAAGAGCCGGAAGGCTCCTGGTGGATATGAAGACGATTGAAGATCAAGTCCTTGTTCACGACGTAGCGTCCGACAATGAACCGGCGAGAGATAGCTTCGTGAAATTGATGGATGTTAGGAAGAACGCCAACCACGAGGAAGTCATCGACGACCTTTGCGACCAGTAGGTTTATCGATCCCTCCGCATTGTATTTGGCGAAGAGCTGAAGAAGGCCTGGGACTTGTACGAACCCTTGCGTGGACATCCATTCCTCGGCGACGAGTTGCCATAGGCGTCCGGATTCTACAATTCCATAGGCCGGCTTGAGTATCTTCCAGACTGTTCGAGCAGAAGATACCCAACCTTTCGGGGGTCGGACGTATATGTCCCGGGGAAAGTGGCCAGCTTGCAAGTATGCTCCTTTGATGTCAATGGAGGCAACTGAGAAAGACATTATTGCCGCGACAGAGAGAACGATGCGAATTATTGGGAACTGCGCTGTCGCCGAGTCTTTCCGGACGAATTCTTTGTCTCGATCCCGGTTCCCGTGTGGGACTAGACGACACTTTAGCTTCAGCTTTCCTCCTTCTCCGTCGGTCTTGACTTGGAAGAAGTGGTGGGAAGAAATCACATTGGCATGTCGTGGGAGATCCCCATACGGGACTTCCTTGTATGCCTCGGCTTGTGCGTAGTTTTCTTTCTCCTCAGCTATGGCCTGATCAACTATCCATCGCGGAGCAAATTGGAGTTTGAATTCAGAGGTGGGCTTGTTCCCAACCACTTCCTGAATTTGTTGAAGGACCTTTTGCTTCGACGATGCAAGATGAAAAGGCAGCCTCGACGGAGCTACAACGTCTGTGGTTCCGATGTCTTTTTCCGGCTGTGGGGGCTCATGAGTTGAGTTCAAATCGAGAGTGCTACTCGAAGTTGAGACTGGATACCGTGTTCCAAACAAGGAATTGCAGCGATCGATGGACCTTGTGTTGACGTCCAACAAAGGGTTGTTCAACCTCGTCGGCTTTGAGGATGCTAATAAGCTCTTTGATATGGGGTGGGAAGCCCACAGAGCCTCTTCGGTCCTGAACTCAGAGATGTCCGTCAGATCGCCGGGGGGCTCCAAGTCTGGAAGGCTGTCTACATTCGCCGCCTCCTGCTGCCTTGCAGACTCTTCCGGTCTGCTTGGAGGCGACTTGTCACTCACATTCGGCATCTCTTCCAACTCCGAGAAGAGCGGAGGGGGTGCCGATGTTGGAGGGAACATACCTTCTTCAAAGTCCTCATCAATGACGGAGTACGACCGTGGGAATACGAAGTCCATGTCATCCAACTCGGCAAGTAGAGGGGAGGACGGAGCTTTCCGAACGTCCTCGTATGCCGCTCTTATGGGCTTACCAATGTGATCCTGACGCCTTGAAAGGACGACGAAGTGGGGCTGTGGGTTCCGCACGTACGCGTGTTCCCACGAGCCAAACTTTGGGCCTCTCTTGAAGAAATACACAGGGTCATCACGTGATAACTGGGCGGCTTGAAGCGCTTGTGGACATCGGGACTTGTCCAGGAGCCTCAAAGCTCTTCGTGCCACTTGCTCGTTATGCGCAGTGATGAGATCAGCGGACAGCTTTGCTTGAGGGAGACCAACAAGCGAGGGGGTGTAACCCCGAGTCATCTCGAAGCTGCTCAGTGACTTGCTTCCATATAAGATGTTGCTCAGATACACGGCACGTGAGACCACGTCTTTCCTTTTAACTGAGTCAACACTGCACGCCGAGGAGTTTGATGCATCCTTTAGAAGACGTTGGATAAGCACACGGACAACCGCATTCTTCCGCTCCACGACGCCGAGTTTGTTATGACGTCGGGCTGGACGGGGTTCAAAACGTATTGAGAAGTACCTTAGGGCGTCGGCAAAACGGGAGTTGAAGAACTCGATATCTCCCGATATGATTGACGGTGCACCGTGAACGTTTACCCATGCGACTTCCAATTGCCGAGCTGCTTCGTCCATCTCACGGGTCCGCATCAGGGATGCTACTGAATAACCCGTATGGACATCCACCATATGTAAGATGGGGGCGTTCTCGAACTCCGCACAGAAGAAGAAGTCGAGTTGGACATGGTTGTTGAACGAGGCGAGTATTTTCCCAAAGGATATCTTCCGTGATTGGAGTGGGCGGCCTGTTTCTTTGCAGCTAGTGCACTTCTCGACGGCTCTCTGAAGCGCTTGTTTTAGCACAGGAGTCATAACCCCTCCTCGACGACACAGCGTCTCCATGTCTTGAAGGGCAAGGTGTGAATATCCATGAAGCTTGTTGGCAAAGCGACCGGCGATTCTGCCATATCGAAACCTTGCCTTCATGGTTTCTGCCGGCGGGATAGTGGATGCATATGAGACTTCCGTGGAGAAGAACGTCACAAAGGAGGATGTTTTCGACGGAACGACGAGAAGAAATGTGCGAACCGCATCGGGGTCACTCGACATTGTTGGTTCGGTGTATGTCTTGAACGTGAGACGTTTTGACGAGAGGTGTCTCACTCCTTTTGGAATAACCAAAAGGTTCTCCGGTCCAAGCTGGTACGAACGGTGAAGGATTTCGTTACTCAGAAGAAGGAATCCATCTCCTCTCGTAACGTAGAACGGAATTTTGACTTCCGTTCCACTCATGTCGGTCACAGGAAGGTCCCAAACTCCAATAGTGACCTCGGCGTCGCTACAATTCTTGCCATATCCGTGCAAGAACGGTTCACAGTCTAGCCTTCGAAGTTTGAACGGAATGTTCATGGCAGTGCAGAGGGCTGCGGCGCAAGAAATTCCTCCAACACTTCTGGGACATCCCGGATCAATAATGGGATTTGGATCCGGGATTCTCGGATTGATATCCGAGGAGGCTCCGGGATGGCTGACTAGGCTTGCCTGTTTGACGAGCCGCCGGAGCCTCTCCGAAAAAACGAGGGATGTGCCCCGGAGCCGCCGTCACTGGGGTCTCGGCGCGTCCTCTTTTTCTTAGTGAAGGCGCTAGGTTCTTTGCACTCTGCTGCCCCTCTGTAGTGACCACGCTCTCCGCAGTCATAGCAAATGGACTGGGTCTCGTGATCAGAAGGCAGCTGCCTCTTGCGACTGCCTCGAGATGCGTCACGACGGCTAGAGGGTGGACCCATTCGAGTGTCCTTCTTCTGCCCGTGACGCGAGCCGACTTCAGAGAGTCTGTCGAAGATGCTTGCAGGGCCAGGCTTGCCATGGGTGCCAATGAGAGACTTGACCTTGCGGTCAACTAAGGCTTGGACGTCCTTCATGGAGAACTGAGGAGCATCCATTGACGTTGTCTGGGTCAGATTCCTCAGCACGATCACCGCGTCGTCAAGGTTGAGCCTGCAAGAAGTATGCCGCGGCAGAAAAGAGTCTGCCACTGACGTCTTCGCAGCATTATTCTCTGCAGTCACCTTTAGGTCTTGGACTGCAATGTCCAAGGAGCGGATGAAGCTGATTGTTTGCGATCTGAAGTCGGACAGAGCCTTCTTGTAATCATCGGCCGTGGACTCTGACTCGCGGAGTGGAACATCAACCTTCTTCAGCTTCTCGGATATCTTGAGGACTTCCTCGAGATGCACCTTGGATACCTTTTCGGTGTCGACGACTGCCGACTCCTCCTTGTTTCGGGCTTCTGCATGCGAAATTAGTTGGAGCTTGGCATTGGTTAACGTTCCCTCCTCTATGTTTGCGTTATTGAGGAGGGTAATCGCCAAAACTTCACCTATCTGCGAAGAAGAAGAAGTGTTGGCGTGCAGCAAGTGCTTGGCTGCCAAACCTCGGAACCTCGAGACGAAGCTGGAGAGCTTCTCGTTCCTGTCTCGGCGACACGAGGTGACCTTCTGGTATGATGCGATGAGCCTTGTGACCATGGCAATCGGTGGGTCTACAGCGACAAGCTCGACGATGGAGAGTGCCGCTTGCACGGGATCATCCATCTGAAGGTAGTCGAGCTGTCCTTTGGACTGGGCTTCATCGACGATTGCCTTCTGAGCTTCCGGAAGGCCGCGCTCATAGAGCGTTCGTCCGAGGAGCTTGAACATCGTCTGAAAAGTGCGATCGGTGCCTTGGTCGTGGGCGACTTTAAGTGAGTCGACCCACTGTCCAACCTTCTTGCGCCAGGCTTCAAGATCGCCATCGGCGGCGAAGAGAGGCGGGTCGAAGAATCCTGATAATTTACTCATCTTTCCCCCTGGGCCCATAACTGTGGGAGAACGGGAACGATGAGGTTAGTAGTAGCCGCGCTCGTCGCACGCAGCGGCGGGGGAAAGGAGTCGCGAGAGCGAGGGGGATGGGGATACTTCGGATGTCGAGTCTCGAGACTTTTCGCCGGCGCTGTCGGAGGGTAGCAAGTTACCCCCGAGGGTCGGTCGGGATACCGCCCTCGGATTTTTATATATCCGGATTTCCCGCCGGCGCGTCGAACGGATAATTTCCCTTTTTCCCAGATTTAGGGCTAACCAAATAAAGTGCAATTTCTATCTTCCCACACAACCACTACAACTGCGGTTGAAGTAGAAAGTTTTATGAAGCTTGGACCTCGGGGATGGCGGTATTTCATCGTTCCTCGAGAACTGACTCCGTAGTGCGAAAGGCATACCAGCACAAAGCAACAAATCTGCTGGAATACTATTATTCTAACTTTTCCAGATTTGACGAGATCGTGCACGGCGAATGCTTCGTTAGAGTACAACATGTACAGTACATCTTTGTTGCTATGCAAGAAAGCTTATTGAGGGAAACACTCTCCCTCTACGGATACGGATACGGACATCTATCGAAGGCTCGGTCGATATTGAAAGATGGATGGAAGTTGTATTAAATGTCGGCGCGTAAGGAACCATTGCCAGCAAAAAAGTGCAAAGCTGTCCCCCGCTATTGTGCTAATCTGTGATAGCACGAAAACCACGACCTCCTCGACCGCCCTGACCCGCTTCCTTGGCAATCTCCTTCGGAATTTTTGCCCCCGCTTGCTCTAGGAGATGCGAAAGCGGTCCAAACAAATCTGCATCTGACTTCGTGGCTAAAGACCACGCAGTTCCCTTCTCACCAGCGCGACCAGTTCTACCGATCCGGTGAGTGTACGGTTCAATAGTCTTTGGCAACTCGAAATTCACTACATTGCGCACACCCTTAATGTCGATACCGCGCCCTACAACATCTGTTGCAATGAGAACCGGATAGCGGCCTGTTCGGAAACCTTCGAGAGTTTTCTCACGCTGCTCCTGTGATTTCCCAGAGTGCATTATCACAGGTCGAACGTGGGAATTTTCGCTAATGAGTCTTGACACCATTTCGCAGCCCCCTCTTGTGTTCACGAAAACCAGGGTGGGGGGCTGTAAAGTTTCGGCAAGCTCTAAAAAGCGTTCTCTTCGCCGATTTTCTGTCGTGAAGTATTCGACCCTCTGAATGATATTGTCTGCTGCCTTGCCAGTCTCTCCAATCAACACAATGACTGGTTCGTGCAAGTAAGTTTTAGCAATTCTCTCAACAGGTGGGGACATTGTGGCACTGAACATGAATGTCTGTCTTCGCTTGCTGCTTTCTTGTCCAAGATGAGGCATCGAGTCTAGAATTTCTGAAAGCGGCTCTTCAAACCCCATGTCGATCATTCTGTCAGCTTCGTCCAGGATCAAGTAATTGCAATTGCCGAGTGCCGCCATTTGCTTTGACAAAAGATCAATCATTCGACCGGGTGTGCAGACCACAATCTCGCATCCGTCTTGAAGTGATGCAGCTTGTTCTTCGAGCCCCTGTCCACCGATCACATGAACAACCCTATATCCCAGCGGCTTTGCAAACTTTAGAGCTTCCGCTTCGATTTGTAAGGCCAACTCCCGTGTTGGGGCTAGAATTAGTGCGTACGGCCCTCTCATTGCAATTTTTCTCGTCATCCGGGGCATCGAAGCAATATGTACAAGCATGGGCAAAACGAAAGCTGCAGTCTTGCCAGATCCAGTCTCAGCAAGACCAATACAGTCCCTCTTTTCAAGACCCACAGGGATTGTGGCCATTTGAATAGGCGATGGCTTTTCGTATTTGGCTACATCGCGAACCAGACGAAGTAAGGAATTGGGCAACCCTGTTTCATCCCACGAGCGTGCGGGTTTCGGTGTTTTCACATTTGATGCCCTGTACGAGATGACGTAGTCCTCTCGAAATATGCGCCAGTCTCTATCGGTCATTTCGCTACGCCGTTTTTGAGACCAGTGCCGTGCGTCGTACAAGTAAGAAGTTTTTCCCGTTCGCTTAGCAGAAGCTGGAACATCAGACATTCCTCCGATTCTTCCCCTGCCAAACTGTAATGTCGCAGCCGCGGTCTGCTTTCGTAGCATTATTCGATACTCATCTTCGCCCGCCATGGTGTCTTCCGACTGGTCCCAGTCATACCGAAATCGGTATCTTTCAGTCTGTGTGTTGCTCTCAGTTTTCTTCTTCTCTGGGATTCTCATGTAGTGTCTTCTAATTTCTTCCAGCTCCTTTTTATCAACCGTCGTGTCGCCGGGTGCTACCTCGCCGTTTCCGCTCCGTTCAAAGCGTGTTCTCGGGCGCTTAGCATTCCTACCTGCGTTTTCCCTGCCGTACGGGTCTCTTACGCCTCTAGCATCATGAGCATTTTGTCCGAAACCGCGAGAGTCTCGCCCCGCTTTCTGCGCAGCATTTTCGTCCTCTCGGCGCCTTTTGAGGCGCTCGAGTGCTGCTCGCTGGCGCTCTTCCTTCGAGACGAACAGGGGCTTCGAGGCTCTGGCCTGCTCTTCATCTCTCTTCCGTTTGAGGTCCTCGAGAGAAAGAGGCACGCGACGTTTGCTCATGTCCCGCGTGCCTAGGCTCGGGTAACACAATGGCCGGATACGCCCGATGCTTGACGGTGAGGCGGGGCCGCTGTACTGTACCAAGGGTACTGTGCGGTAGAATGGGAACTCGTCCTGTGGAGCATTTCTGAATGATTTTTTTCACAATTTTCAGAATAAGACGGGTGTTGCCCAACCTGGCTCAAGCACAGCCTCTCAAAGTCTTATCTTATGATTGTCGCCCTTCTCAGCTCCCCATCTCCTTTGCAGTGAAGCTCCGGTCCCACAACCGCTTCTCTGCACCAGACCCCCCGAGCTCACATTTCGTCAAGAAAACGTGACAGGCATACGTCGAAAGAGGCCCCTCCCTGGATCCGGCATTCCGCACTCGCGAATTGTACCGCTCTGGTTGGGTAAGTCGCAGCAGTATAAATATTTACGGGGAGAAACATGAGCTCAAGTCGAATTGGAATTGCTGAGGAATCTGCAGCAGCGTACGTATTTCCCTCCCCTCCTCTGAGATCCAGTAGCACGTACGTGCCCTGTGCAGTGTCGCGAAGTACTCAGAAATGCTCTCGCATTCGTCGACCCCGTTCTGCCCTTCAATCGAACTGGTTACATGGGGAAGCCCCAGTATGCCCATGCAACAACACAAGAAGAAGGAGAGTATCAACTAGATCTCAGAAATTTCACATTCATGGGCTTACCGGAAAGAGCTCAGAACAAAACGACCCCACCGAGGATGGGCAAACCACAACTGAAGAGCGCGACGGAAAGAAGGAATCCTGGTTTTCAGGTCTCAAAGTTTGGATGCGAGGGAAAGGGGAAGAGGAAAAAAAAGATCTTGTCAACGATGGCAGAAGCGCTGAGGAAGTAGGTGAAGTAGATGTCCGTAGTCAGCCAACGGCTCCGAATACGATGCCTCCAATCGAAGCAGGTGACGGGCCATCAGCTTCTCGTGAGGCCGATGCGTCCCGAGGCTCATTTCAATGGCCCTGGGCAAAGGATACCGCAACACAAGAAGTCGTCGAGAAGGACATGAAGGATCCCGACTCGCGCAGTGAAGACTTGGGTACCAGGAGAAAAAAGGCTACACACACTGATTCAAAGCCTGGCGCTTCCTTACCGAATAAAACAGGCTATAACGCATCGCAAAAGAAAAAAACTCAATGGAAGCCACCATGGGAAGAAACATGGGACAAAGTCGTGGAAGTCATCAGCGCAAAATGGCCTGATGCAGATAGTTCAAAGAAAAAAGAAACTGACCCGGGCATCTCTGCTGATACGAGTATTTCATCAGGCAGTGCAAGCAATGGAATTCATACGAAAACTACAGGTAACGAGCCATCCGCCCCACAAGGATCAAGCAGCATCCGAGAACTGTACAGTCCACCGGCTGATGCAGCTGATTCCAAATCAGAACAACCTCCACAACGACGCAAAGGACCGAAGTGGCCAAAAATGCCTTGGGTTCGAGGGGGCGATGAGGAGACAACCGCATCTGATACCAAAGCAGGGGTCAAGAGATCGTCTGGTCCAAGAATCTCAACAGTCGAAACCGTGACGTCGGAGGAGGAAGAGCGTGCAGACTCCTCGCGTGCGCAAACTAAGTCAGCTGTAAGCGAGGAGACACGAAGTGAACGGGATTCGTCTGCAGGCTCAGAGATCAGCCCGACGTCGACAATTAGCAAGAAGGAAGCGGACGACGGCAAAATTCCCAATACGCAAAGCTACGGCAACAGCGATAAAAAGCCTTCGTTGCAGCTGCCACCTGTACGATCTCAGTTGAAGGTGGGTCACATTGATGTCGCATCTATTCCGCAACGGGACGTCGCAACGATTCGGTTGATCTTTGGCTCAGAAACGTTCTTCGCGACAGAGACACTTTCACCACCTGGGGGTTTGATTTTCCGTGGCAACTTGAGAGGCGAACCAAAAGCAACTATTGCCAAGTTGGAAGACAGACTTACATCTCGTCTTGGAGACAAGTATACGCTGTGCTTAGCAGAAGGTGAAGAAGATTTGAGACCCGTTGTCGTTATTGTTCCGACTGCTCGAGACAAGCGACCTGCGACTCCACGACAGCAATTTTTTGCCATTGTCATAGCGTTCATGACAATAAGTACTTGTCTTGCGAGAGGGGTCTTTGCAGCATCGTACAAGCAAATGATTCAGCCTTATTATCCCATTGCCGGTGCATCGGTGTTTAAGAGGTTTTTCTCAGTTCCGAGTGCCATCTCCCTGACAACTGCAGCATCAATTTGGATAATCATTTTACTTTCCCAACTTGTTCAAAGGGTGGTGGCATCTCGATACGGAACCCGTGTTGCTCTGCCGTACTTCATTCCGTCATTTCAATTGGGCTCGTTCGGTGCAATTGTCCAACTGGCTTCACCTACACCAACCAGAGCTGCTCTTTTCGACATCGCATTCGCAGGGGCCGCCACACTCGTCATTGCATCGCTTGCTCTTTTGCTCATTGGTCTGCGGCTATCGACTATATTCTCTGGCGTGGTGCCTATTCCGATGTCTACCGTATCCAGCTCGTTGGTGATGGGATTTCTAACCCAGCAAGTCCCACACGGCCAAGTATTGGTGGACTATGGTCGTTCTCTCATTGCTCTTCACCCGCTGGCGGTGATAGGTGCAAACTGCCTAACGATCGCAGCGCTAAATTTGCTTCCTATGCGTCAGCTCGATGGTGGGCGGATCATTTCCGCTCTCTACGGGAGAAGAACAGCTGTGTTTGCCTCGAGAGTAACCGTTTTGTTCCTATTGTTGGCTAGTACGAAAAACCCATACTTTGTGGTGTTTCTAGCAGCTGTAACTTTCGGGCCTTGGAGTGTTGATCGGCCGTCAAAGAACGAGTTAACGGAACCAGATGGTGTTAGAACTATAGTGGGATACTTATTTATGCTATTAATGATTGGGGTACTTTTGCCTTATCCGGCCTGTAAGTTCTTCGGGACATTGTAGGATTAAAGAGGAATGATACAAGCGAGGCGTGGGTTGAGCCGAGCCTCTTGTTTTTGGAAGTGCAAAGAATCACTGGGTCTGTAGGTGTTTTACATCGCAACGCTACATTCAAACGCGCAACGACCGAGTCACTGCGCCCATGTGAGAAACATTTGTATTGTATTCTGTCTTTTCATCCAAATTGGCAGGAGCCATGGCTTCAGTCAGACGCCTCTCGCACCCACGTATTGTTTGGAAGCAGCAATCCGTTCACAACCTGATACGTCCATATGAATTGTGAGACCTTTACATCTTCCTCCGTTGTATATGTCGTACCGCTCCTACGCACTGAAGGGGTGTCTTTCAGCTTGGCATAGTAGTCTAAGAACAGACACAGCGAGATTGAAGTAACAAACACTCCGGCGTACAAAGAAGGGGTGCCCCGGAACCCGGAAACAATCCAATAAAAAATAAAAAAAAGAGTGCCATCAAAAGTGTAGACGAGTGCCATTCTACCAAGAGAGCATGTCACTCTTCCCCGAGCGCCTCCCAAAGATCTTACTCATGCCCTGCCCTGCCACGGTCCCGCATCAGACGTGCGTGGCTCAAAAAAAAAAACATCGTAGCAGAAATATTGCTTCAGTACCAGGTGGTGAAATTGTTGAAGCAAGTCTCTACGGATCGCGGATGCCCTGGATGCGACCACCAACTCTTGCCGGTTGTCCCCTGTCGTGGGAGACCCACACGGACGTGATTCCGGACGCGACAATAGCTCGCTCGACGAGAAGAGCGGATTGATGATCGCAACTTGACGAGGGTTCGTCAAGCAGCAAAACTTTGGGGTGCATGGCAATGCAAAGGCCGACCATAGCACGCTGTGCTTGACCTAAGTGACAAGAATTGGCATTTGGCGATGGCTAGAGGGTCAGTGATTTGCTTGCGATGTCGCTTCTCGCGGGCCTGCATCGCATGAGGAATATGGTTAAATACTAGGACAAAGACGAAGTGATGAGAGAAAGGGAATGTCGAACTCACCCCCAGAGAGCTCGGTCCACTTTTGCTGTTCGATATTGGGGCGATCAAGGCCTAATTGGCAGCATATCTCTACATATCGCTCGAGGCTTTCCTTAAGATTGAAATGCATGAGGGCTCTGGATTTAAAGTTTAGGGCCCTCTCAAACAGGTGGCGTGGGGTGCAGGGGTAGGAGATTCTGGTCTGCGGGACGTACATGACGTCGCGCCTCCACTCGGAAAAGCCCGTCGAGGACGGGGTGTGACCGTCCACGGAAACGTGACCGGCATCGTACGAATCGAGGTTGGCGATGGCACGCAGGGCGGTCGATTTGCCGGCGCCACTCGGACCCGTGAGGAAAAGTATCTCGCCGGGTTGCACCGTGAGGTCGAGGCCTGTGAGCACGGGCTTTTCGTCGAAGGACTTCGTCAGCGACCGGACGACTAGCATCGCATGCGGGCGACACGAATTGGACGTTGTGCGGGCAAGGGGGCCGTAGGTCAGCGGGGCAGGTATGAGAGAAGGGGATTAAAGAATGGGTGCGACTTTGCACGTCTCGCTGCGACGGGTATGTACCTTCGAAGGTACCGTTCCCCCTTCTAGTTACAATAAAGGTCGACCATTCAAAGGTACCGCGTGGGGTTGGTGTCGGAAGGAAATTTGTGTGGGCTTTGCTGGAGGTATGAGAAATGCATAGGCGCAACTCATGAGCAAGGGATGACAACTACGGTGGCGGACAGACTGTCTCTGGATGTGGGGCAGTCGGCGGTGGCGTGGTCGCAAGACGTCGTGGAACGGTTGCGGGGTTGTTGAGGATACCATGGGGGGGCCATGGGGGGGTAGATTGGTACATTCTCGCAGGCGGCGACGAGCGCGGATGCCTTCTTTCGCGAGTCCTCAAGGGGAGCCGTTCATGGCGGCATTCACGACGCGACACTGACCATACGCAAATGCGAGTTCTGCGCGGGTGGCGGAGGGCGGGAGATCGCGATGTGGCGTGTGTTGGGCACGATGTTGAGGCGGCAGTTACAACCACCCAAGCTTTGGGCTGGGTGTCGCGCCTCGGATGGGTCAACGGGGGGGGTAGTCAGTGCCAACTGTTACATACAGTAGAGGAAAATAAGAGGCGAAAATGGAGAAAACGAGGGTGGGAGGCAGTGTCATGTGTCTTTCTGGTTTTTGGGAGTTGTCAGGTTTGGAGTGTTATGTAAGGTGTTAAGCGCGCTTACGGGGCTTACGGGGCCGGCAACATGTGCGGTAAGTTGAATAGCCGCCCAAATAAGGATTCGAACGCAGGGGCCTCATTGGTCGCTTGACACGGTTCGCACCGCGAGACAAATTACGAGGCCCTCCATGCGTCGCGTGCCTCGTGTCAATCTAATCATGTCTTTGCTGCTATCTTACTTGGCAAAAGACTTTTGCCATTTTGCCTTCATTTCCGTGGGTGTGTGTGCCTTGGATTTTATTAGTTACATTGTTAGTAAGCATCCTGCTGTGGGCCTTAGTTTGCCTTAGGCACACACCATGCTATATTGTTAGTAAGCATCCTGTTGCCTGTTGCGTGCCTAACTTAGTTTGCCTTAGGCACACACCAGGATGCTTACTACAGTACAGTAGCCACGGAAATCCAAGCAAAATCGCTGCTGGCACGGCACACATCGGCAAACTGTACCCTTCAAGGGTACACAACGCTTTTCTCACCTACTGTGCTCACTTACTGTGCTCACGTACTGCAAAATCGCCCCCGCTGCTTCACGCCCAACACCTCCCTGAGCACCCTCCCAACGATACGCCTCTGCACGCACGCAGACTGCCATGCCAACTTTCTTGCCATGCAGGGTAACATTCCTTCTAGGCATCAGGATGGCAATCTCTCTCGACCTTCTTCTCCATTCAGTGCAAAACCTTGCTTCAATCCACTAGGGCCGCATCCGCACACTATCTGTCTGCAACGATTCCACATAACTGTGTTCCACTACAACTGGGGGACGGAGTAGACTCATTACATACAATGACATCCATCGTCATCACAAAAAAAAAAAAAAAAAAAAAACACCTTGTGCCTTATAATAGTGTTAGTGTTGCCTACATTTTACATATCAAACTCTAAAGTTGGACAAGCAGACACAACTGCGAGCTCATTCTTCAAGGTTAAAATTTTCAGTTAATGCATGCCAATTGTCACACCCATCTTTCGTCCCCAATCTCATCATCAGAGCCTCCAGCATCCGCAACGAGTCATTTTCCATTTCCTCTAGCGCCTGTTTCCTCTCCGTCGACGACGAGCTAATCAACTTTCGATCTAGATCCATCGTGAAAACTAGAAACATCACCGAATAACTTGTTAATCTATCCCCACCCGATAGCCAGTTCCAAATCTTATTCCGTCCCCTAAGATTCATCTTCACGTGAAGACGACTTTCTGCATATGCTTCCATTTGTCGCACCTCGTAGTCTTTCGTCCTGATGATCTTCCGATTGTCTTTCAGCTCTTCGTCCAAAAATTCTTGCGGAGTTCGTTGCCTTTCACCTGACCTATTGTCTAATGCGAGTGGTGTGTCACCGTTGGCTGAGTCCTCTTTCCCAAACGATTCCACTGCTTCGTTGACCCTCCGATTTTTCCCTGGAGAGCTAATCGTTACTTCATCGCTCGGCACAACGTTGCTCTTCCTCGCCCGACCAGTGGCTTGACCAAGTATATCACTCTTCTCGGCCAACGGTCCTCTCCCCTCCATAACATCAAGAGCTCGCCGCTTGCCATCAGCAAGACGCCGTTGTCTTGCTTTATTAGAACTGACACTGGGCAGTTTTGTAGACTTGCGCCAAAATTCGTGATGTTGTCCAACATCTAATGGCGTTCGCGTTAGGCTAGGATCAACTAATCCGCTCTCATATCTCCTGCCTCCCACTTCGCTCTCCTTCTCTTTAGGAGGCATGCCCTTCCGTGTGGCACCTCCGCCATCTCCCTGAGCGTGTATGTCTCGGGATGGTTGCTGTGTTTTCTCAGTCGCGCGTGAATTCTGGCTTTCCGTGAGACGCGATCGGACCTTTCCAGTCGCCTTCTTCACCCCTGTCCTCTTTGGCATCTGCAGTGAGCTGCGCCAATAGTCTTGATTTCCGCACCGATTTCCAACTTGAATGACCTGCTCTATGGGAGACGGTCTTGCCTTTGCCGCTTGCGGCGGTAAGCGCCGCGCATACTGGAGCTCCTTGGGAGATTGCGAACGACAACGAACAGGCAGCTGTGCATCAGTTTGGCTTTTGACGGCCGCCGGCAACTTTCTGCCTGTGTGTGCCGGATTGGCACCGCTAGAGTTGCGCCGTACAGCACCCTTGGGTGACGAAGAGCCTGTTCCGTTCGGCGCTAGTCTCACAGGTTGCGCCGAATGCCGAGCATGTGTTGCAGATGCGTCACGTTGAATTGGGGGTGCTGCAACCGGAATGGAGGCGCTCTGAACCGGGTTCGGCCGAGGAGCAATCCTCTTGCTTGCTCCTGCGGCACCAGATTCGTGTCTCGGCCTCCCGGCATCGGTCGGCAAGTGTCCCGTAGGAAGAATAATTGGGCCAGTGAAAGTTTTGTTCACCTGGCTGGGGAGATGCCAAGCGTCATGGCTAAAGTCATTGGGGTGCGCCGAAAGTCTTTGACCAGAACTGCGATGTTGTTCCATTCGAGGAGCTAAGCGTTTGGCTTTGGCGCGTGGAGGCTGAGGTGCCTCCTGTACTGTCGGAACAGGCAAAACGCGAGCTTGCGAGGGGAGATGCCAAGCGTCATGGCTAAAGTCATTGGGGTGCGCCGAAAGTCTTTGACCAGAACTGCGATGTTGTTCCATTCGAGGAGCTAAGCGTTTGGCTTTAGCGCGTGGAGGCTGAGGTACCTCCTGTACTGTCGGAACAGGCAAAACGCGAGCTGCAGCAATTCGCTTTGGGTCGGAAGAAGACGAGTTGGGGTTTCGCAGCAACGCTGAAGATGCTAGCTGACCCTTCTCGAAACACGGGACATCCCCGGGGACGATGAAAGGGGCGGGAGGGGTCGCCGAGGGCAATTTGAGGGGGTTGGGGATAATTCGACCGTCATCGTCGACAACAAGCAATTTTGGATAACGACGACGCAGAGGCTGGGTTAGAGGGGAAACTCTGGCTATTTTCTGTGGAGGTGGTGCACAAGAATCCTTTGGTCGTGACTCATTTGGGGACTGGCTGGGTTTCTCGGAGGGAAGCGCGGTGTTGCCGTCTTTTGAAGGAGAAAGGTTTGTGTTTGCCGCTGGCTGTTGCACTCGAGGCGGGCGTCTGTTCGACGGGGTAGGCTCATTCCACGAACGGGTGAGTCGCTTCTTCAATGGATGCATAGGTTTCGGAGCGTCTCTTTTCGGGGGGTTTTCGGGTCCGTCTGCCGTTGGTGCGGTTGGGGGGCCGGGAGAACGGTTGTTCGAAGGAAGTGTACTGGTTCTCGCTTTGACAGCCGCGGCGCGGCGAGGGCGTGAAGACTTGAAAGTTGTTTTGGTGCCTACATGCATGTTGCGCGAATCTGGGCTGCGGGACATGGGCGGTAGTGAAGGGCCACCCGGAAGGTGTACATTTGAGTCACAAGGGGGGAGAAGGCCGAGGGGCTTTGGGCGTGAGTGAGAAAGAAAGAGCAACAAGAGAGTTTGTGTCGGTAACTTAGACTTACAAGCAGCTGCTTTCATGTCTCATTTTTGTCGGTAAACTACTATTTGAACGGTATGACAGAGTGCTATGCAGGCCGCAGAGAAAGTTGGTGCTGAGGGGACCCAGAGGATGCGGTAAGTTACACCTGGTGGCCTTAGACGCAAAGTAAAGGGCACTTTTCAACACGAGATGCGGTAAGTTACACGTGGTTGCCTTAGACGCAAGAAAAGGGCACTTTTCAACAAAGTGGAGGGAGAGGGGGTCGATGCGATAAAATTGCAGCTGTCTCTCCCTTTGCGGCCCTCAAATCGCCTCAATTCGGGCCAACTCTTTTTATTTTTTTGGCTCTTTTCTTGCCCAATTGGAAATTCTGCCAATACACTTACGAAAGCGTAAATCGAAAGGGGTTGCGTACAGGCTGACAGGATAGCACACGTCGTTCCGTTCTTCTTCTGCGCAGCCTCCTTGTCAGTTCGTTCAGTTTTCCCTCTTTGTCATCTTCCGCACATCAACTTCTCCTTGCTTGTCACCGCATCCTCTTATTGGTCCACCAAGTACATCAACTGCTCTAAGATGCGACGTAGCAAGTCGCAACTTTTCTACTCCACACTCCACCTGGTAGAAGTGCTACGAATATGCACACCACCTGTCAGTACTGCCTCTTTGTGTAGCTTCTCTAATTTCCCGCTTTCATCAGTTTCACTGCGTATGCACAACCCTCTATTCGCTTGCAGCCTTGCAACTCCATCAATCAATACCCCTTCCCTTATTACAAATGCATACCACGGTGACGTCTAGCAGTCATTCCACACATCCCTGCAGAGCATCTTGTCAATCGTCTCATCGCAAAGGCGTTGACAAAGCAATGCCAGAGCAGTGTGCCCCTCCTCCAAGAAAGAGAACAAATCTATGTCCAGAATCTCAGTTAGAATGTAGCTCAATTGCTGCAAAGTGGATACAAGTCCCTATTTCGCACCAAATTGCTCAACTATCATCATCGTATATTCTGCATTCTACAACAAAGTTTCGTTTTAGCATGCGAACAAGTTCATCTGCCTGAACAACTACTTAAAAATATTGTCCTGAATTCTAGTTGTCGGCGGTAGCATAGCTAAATACCATATCACACCAAACACTCCAGAGACTATGCTCTTTGCAGCCATTATGCATTCTTCTCATTGGCTTGCTTCTCGACGCGTATTGACAACAAGTCTTGATCCTGACAGAAACTATGTGCAGTACGTATTGCATGCCAGTCCTCTAGAGATCCAGAGAGGAACTTAGGGTTCTAGTCTGGAGGATATGCATATGACAATGTGCGAATGGATGTCACAAGAGAAGAAGTTTATACTATGAAAAAAATCATCAACAGATACTATTGATCTCTTCAATCACATGAAGTTAGATAATTGCAAAACAAAAGCCAATACACTAGCAATCTACCAAATGTGCTTCTATCCTTCGGTGCGATTTTTTCTATACTGCAAGAGCTATGTTTGCTTCGCATTACTGCAATCGAAAGGAGAAGGATGTAGCTATGAGACTGCCGTCAGAAAATGAAAAGTTTCCAGAAAGACGAGCAATTGCAACTCTGCTCAACGTGTAGAGCGAGGCATGGGACACACTGCGCCACTTTGTATCTATGTGTATTTTAAAGCCCTGGAACTTGCGATTCCAAGGAAATATCGCACAAGCAATTCTCATTCGATGAGCTGACAAGACGCATGCATCAGTAAAATATGTACAGTTCATATCACCTCGTACCTTTAAACCTTGAGCCAGCAGGCCCGATATCCTTCAAGAGAAAACACTCAGGCTTTAGAGGGACGTGGCAAGGCCACCGATTTGCTTTCGAGCACTATTGACATCTCAACTGGAAAATACGGACAAACGTTGCCGGCTGTAGTAGATTACCTGTTACGGAGGTCAACAATAAGACATACATAGATATCATGGTAGATTTTCCGCCTAATAATGTTGACGTTAGTGAAGTTGTATTCTTCTGATTCCCAACGCATAGAAAGCGTAGAGGGGGAAAGCTATAAGTATCCGCCTTTTCTGTGCAACGTACAACAAGATTTTCTTGATCGGCTCAAGTTGCCTTGTGGGCCTTTCGGTGACAACATGGAAGATAAAAAATAACGGATGCAAACTAAAGGGGATTCAGCGGTAATTGCTTCACTTAACATGACTATTCCAAGATGAGAAAGTTGGCCTTGTTATTTGAGCCTGAACATGCTCTCAGCACAGGTCAGAATTATCACGATTTACGACTTTACTGTCCCAATCCCGCATATCGGAACTTCAAAAACCACAACCAAGAAAGTTAACGCACAATTGCTTCACAGAGCGCGTGTGCATTGAGTGAACTTTGTGCTTAAGTTTATTTGCCAATACTGAGATAAGAACGTAGGACATATATACTGATAATTTCTCGTGTTTTATGAGCAATGCACCTCAACGTTCGAAGGTAGTCCAGGCATATCTAGATTCCTAATTACATCCCTAGAATACCCTGTTCTTGTTCATGTTTTTTATCAGTAAGTTGATGGGAAGATGATAGAAAATAGTCGTACTTTCAAGACGGGGATAAGAAGAATGAACTTGGATTCCAACACTACACCATCAAGAGTTACTAACTCGTCAAAAGTCTTTCGTACATGGGGAATTGTTGCAATATCTCAAGTCTGAGATATGCAGTGTTGTGCTTCAAATGCAAAAAAGCTCTGATTTAGATCTAGAAGACTACGGAAAATATTCGCAATACAAAATAGTTTAAGCGTACTGTTCAACTCGTGTCTTCGCCACGTAATTCTAATCGGGTCTAGTTTACTGGAATGGGGGAATAGAAATTTTCGATGCAAGTTTGTAACACTTGCTAGCCAGACGTTCACGAGCATCTATAGGTTGGGAACCAATACATGAGAAGCAAGTAGACTTCGTACAGTAACGATGCAAATTCGGGTATAAGAGGTGCTTCACGATTTTTGCTATATGCTATCGCAAAACATCGACATAGATGGAAGTATGGTAGGCGAATATGTGGCACGCATATGCTGTATTATGAAGCTGTATGTCGTGGCGAGGTCAGAGGTGTTGTATGGACTGCTTCTTTCCATACATCCTTCATATACGGCATATGTATGTTTTAAGCACTGTAACATTTTTTGACCCATACAGCGGGTTGCCCTAAAGTTCGGACGGTTTCACAAAAATTTAAATTTAAAGTACAAAATATTGTGCTTTTGCATCGTAACTTCAGCAGTTCCTCCTAAGCGATGTGATGAACACAGCCACGTTTGATTGGTCGCGATTGATCAACTTTCGCCGTATTTGTGAGAGCGCTTGGGGAAGCGTCTGAGAGGCCTTTCTTCAGCCAGAGGTGTCTTAAAATCCGGACAGCTTATCATATAGAATCATTCAAATTTCCTAATTTGGGAAGCCGTGGGGGTGGGGGTGGGGGTCGAGCCCGCAGTTGTGGCACCGTCGGGAAAGATGCACCAAAATTCTTCGCCATGTCCAAGGTCCTCTTCTTCGCGGCGTCGTGGCGCTCCTTCAGTGTGCGACGGGGCATGGCCATCTACTGAGCAAGCGGGATGTTGTTGATCAGCGCCCTTCGCATGTCAGCCTTTATTTACCTCCCTTTGCGCGCCTGCTCTTTTGCGATGGTCTTTGCTCTGGCCTTTTCCACCCTGGCCTTCCTCTTCCTTTCCTCTCCGGCCTTTTTTTGTGCATAAGCAACGTCCTGCGCCTGCAACGTTTGTCCATCGCGTGCTGATGCCCTTATTGAAATGCACGCAGAAAACGCACATTCGGTTTTCAATGCCGTCAAGAGTGTGAGCTCAGACCGGCCATTGAGCCCTGGCCAAAATCATTTGAACAGCTCCTGCGAGCCTCACCTCAACATTGGCGTGGAAAAAGGCGCCATTCTACCATTTCGAAAAGCAAGGAATCCAGTGGCGAGGTCGGTATGACGTGGCGACGAATGGTTTACTGCTGAAAGCGCCCTGAAGGTACCCGGAGAGACCGTTTAAGGTGGTCAGGAGGGCCCGAATCATGATTCGGAATAAAATTTGCAGAATTTGGTTGTGTCCGGGGGTTAGGGCATTTGTCCGAACTTTAGGGCAACCCGCTGTAGCATTGTGCGGTATTGCAGTATGGCCCATAAAGAAGCCAATCAACATGGGGCAAAAGTAGAGAGGTAACGAGGTTGGTCACCCCTGCTAGGGATGTAGTCATTGAAGGGCTTTGTGCAATTTGTTGTTTGAATGTTTCTCTCACTAGCTGCGTTGCATTTCTGAATGCAAGAAACAAGCTGAAATCTCATCTAGCGACTGATTTTTGACGTAGTCTTCTATATCACTATCATGCTGCTGGACAAAGCTAGAACGTTTGATGACTGGCATGTGAAGGGCAAAAGAGCCACTAGAATGCTGCGTGGGGAGCAGATGTTTCAGTGGCATTTCAGTGGCAGGCATTGTGAAGACCAAGGAAAATGTAAAAGGCATTCTTCAGGTCCTGGACCCCACAAATTACAGAGCAAATGTCAGGACTGAGGTCATTACCTTTGAGCAAAAATGAATGCTTTACTCTTAACTTAATCATAAACATGAGAGAGGAGTACTTTTCACTAACAGCAGCAGCACATGTTAGAGATTTGTCAACAGAAACTTTAAAAAGCAGCGCAACGAAAAAAACGTCATAACCCCCCTTATAATCCTCATAACGACGACATGTCACGAGATTAGGCCGTGTCCTCGGGCGCGGGGGTCAAAAGCGGGGTCCCCTCGCCGCTGGGGACGACGTCAGTGTGGTCGGCCAGTTCCTCGCTGCTCTGGGCGAGCTGTGCAGCGGATGGGAGGACGGCTTGCGCACGCGAGGTGACGCTCGTGGCCGCGGTGCCGAGAAAGGTCTTCAGTGCAGTGACGATGGCAGCGATGAGACCGACCTCGACGACCTTTGCCCAGATGTCCTTGAAGACGGCGGCCAGTTTGGCGAAGGCGGACTTCGGCTCCGTGCGCAACTCGGACAGCGCGTCTTTCACGATGGGGACGTCGTCGCGCACCGTGGCGAGCACGGCCTTGCCGCGGCTCATCACCTCGGCGGTAAGGTTGTCGTCAGTCATAGTGGCTGGTTAGGGCGGAGAAGGAGAGCTGCGGGTGTGGGTTGTCGGGAGCGGTACGGGGAGGGGGGGGGGGGGTTGCGCGGGTGGGTGGTGGTGTAGAGGTACGTATGTTGGATGGGGGGTGTAGATGTACGTATCCTATGTCGGGTTTGTGGGATGAAGCGGGCCGGAGGATGGGTAGCGAGTACATGTAAGCTTGATTGTAAGCTGCAGAACGGGGCACGAAGTACCCTTGGTACTGTATATCCATGGCATGGAATAGGCCGTGCGTCCGCAGCAAAGTAGGTTTATGGAGGTGCGTCTTTCTATGATGCAATTCACAGGACAGTGGAAACTACCAACATGGACAGAGATGCGTGCGTATCTGGCACTGGTCCAATGTACACGTTTCCACGTGTTCTTCATGCATGAGGGTGACGTATGGTCGCGGAACCTCAGCAGCACGTGATCTAGATCCTTTCTATACCGTACCATTGATCCGGATGTCTCTCCACCCCGCCCACGGCTCCACCGCCGCCTCGTAACCCTCTTGACCTCGCTCAATCTCCAGTCAATCAAATCGAACCAAATTCCTTTCCTCACACCTCTCAACCCCCCCCCCCCGTCCGTCAAATCCGCGTCCTCCGCCCTCCCCTTCCACGCCTCGCCACAGTTCTCTGCCGATCCATCACGGCCCCCACCCTTCTTCTCGTCGCACGATGAGGGCTATATCCTTGAATTGTCCCCCTCCCACGTGCCGCCTGCATCACGCCGCAGAGCTGCGCGAAACCGAGCGCCGGAAGGCCTCACGAAACCCTCAACTCGCTTTCGTCGCCCGCCTGCGTCGCCGGCGCCGCACGTCGGCCGGCGAGCTCGTCGACAAAGAGGAGCTCGAGAGCGAGGCCGAGCCGGTCTCTACGGATGCCGTTGCCGTCGAGTACGTGCGCAACGGCAAGCGCGAGTTCTTTGTGCGCAACGGCAAGCATCGAAGAAGCCCCGGCGCTCGCTACGCGGAAGGCGACGAGCTCGCGGTAAAGGAAACCACCATCGATCGCACGTTGCGCGGGAAAGTCGTCGATCGCCTCAAGAGGCTTGCCTTTCCGGAGGGCTATCCGCATTCGGTCGGCCCGGGCTTTGTCGAGTATACCCGATGGAGGCTGTCTGCCTTCTTTTTTGGAGGCGCCGTGGGTGTCTTTTCCACTCAGGGCTTGCTTTTGGCGGTGGGGGTGGGGAGGCAGAGCGCCGCGCCGCTGGCTGCTGCTTTGCAGTGGGTCATTCGCGACGGGATGGGGCGCGCGGGGAGGATGTTGTTTTCCCAGGTAGGAAACGGCTTCGATGCGGAGACCAAGCAATACAGGCTCATGGCGGGGTTCGTGCTTAATTTGAGCTGCGCGTTGGAGAGTGTCACGCCTGCCGTGCCGCATCTGTTTCTGCCGCTGGCGTGTATTGCGAACATGGCCAAGGGAGCATCCACTGTGGCAGCGGCTAGTACGCGCAGTGCCATTTATCTCAGCTTTATGAGACGAGAGAACCTTGGCGATATTACCGCAAAGCAGGAGACGGTGGGAGTGGCTGGCGATCTAATGGGAACTGCTATGGGCATCTTGTTGTCGAGGTACACGGCGAATAGCAGACGGCTCGCAATGGGCGCTTTTGTGACTGTCTCACTTGCTCACTTGTTCTCAGTTTACAAAGAGATCAAAGGAATTCAGCTTGGCACGCTCAATCGGCAACGTGCGCATATGCTTATCAAATACTACTTGGAGGAAGGCAAAGTTCCCGACCTGGCTGAGGGTAATAGGAATGAACGCATTTTGAACAGGCCATGGCTTGATTCCTTGCACGCCCCTAACATTGACCTTGGTGCTCGCTTGCAAGACTGCGCTCCAGATGCGGAGGCAGTCCAGTACTTGCTGAAAATGTACAAGAACGAACGCTATCTTTTCACATACGAGGACACCAGGTTGAAGATCGTTCTTCGACAAGATGCCGCGAGCCATGATTGCTTGAAGGCATTCCTGCAGGCAGACTACTTCTGGAATCGATACAAAGATGAAGGCGTGAGGGAGAGTCGAAACCGTGCTTTACTTGAAGAGTCGTACAAGTTTGCAAACTCTCGTTTTGATGCTTTCGCTCGTGATGCTGAAAACAAAGGATGGCTTACAAACTCTGTTCTACTAAGACCTATCGGTCGCCGCGCATCATGGAGTAGTTCCCTTGCCCACTCACGTAGATAGCTAGGTTACTCCGATCCTTCACGACTCCTACAGAAACAACACTAACCGTACGTAATGTTGCAGTCATCTACTGCGAAAGCGATAAGCATGTCTTTCCTGCTTAGGGATTGATACAGTTGTACACATCTCAGTATGTCAACAATGCGGTTTATTTATGTACAATTGGTAAATACATAGGTTGCGTTGCTCTCTTTCCTGGCTTGTACATCTGTACATCTCGCTTTGGAATGTTCCCTCTATTGCCGTCCTCGACGGTTTGCCCTCGCGTTTGCTTCGCTTGATGTTTGATGCTGCGGCTTCACAATGCCTCCAGTCCACCCATTTTTTCGGGGATACTGCTTCCAAGTAGGCCGTGGACCATTTCGGCTGCTGTCATCATTTCTTGGTGCTTCCATCCTTGCAGAGCGAAACGGTGCCTTGTGCCCGTTCTCATACGGCGACACTCGGCCACCCAGTCCCAATGGCGATCCACTGCTTGGGGACCCTTTCGAAGCGTTGTAAGAGTTGTATGGTCGGCGGTGAACCGGCGTAGGCGAACGCCATGACTTGCTCTTCTCAATCGTCCTGTTCGAAAAGCTGGGCAAGGCGCCATGAGAACTGCCATCAACTTGTGGCTTGCTGTATGCGGATGGCCTTCCGCTGGTGAAGTTCTGGTGTGAACTATGTGACAATGGCTTAGCTGACCGGGGGAGAGCCCCAATAGAAAGCTCACGCGGGGAAGTAGCAGATGGCTTCAAGAACCCCTCGAGCCTTTGCTGCAGAATGTCGCTAACACCAACGGCCGAAGAGGGTTTTCGTCTTGGTGACGGTAAGGGAGACTCGGCCTTATGGAGATCCTTCATCTTGTTGTCCTTGGGCTCAAGATTCGGGGAACGTCCGTTCTTGGCCTCGGGCACTACTGTGGACCGAAGTGGTCGCAGGCTGTTACCGTTCATGGATTCGGTGGATGCCTTGCCTTCAGAGGCATTCTGGCCGAATCCACTTTGCGGCTTCATAGATGGGACTATTCCCGTAGAGAGACGATTAGGGAAGGCCGATGTTTTCAATAGCTCGTGCTCAACTTTCTCGCGGTTCTTGTGAGGGCCCCCACCAGGGCTGCCCTTCCAACCACTGCTGAGAACAGGCCTGTTCAGTGCCTTGTGATCCGGTGATGGAGAACGAGAAGACTTGAATGACGGAATAGTCGCCCCGATTATCGGTTGAGAAGCTGAGAGCGTTGTCTTCTCTTTCTTGAATGTGCCCTGTACTACAGGAGCCGGTAAGGAGCGAAGCATAGGCGATCGCGTCAGCTTTGGAGATGAAGTCGACGGTCGCACTAGCGGGGAAGTTGGATTAGGAGATACTGGCGATTTTGGTTGAGGGGATGTGGGGACCTTGGGCTGTGGCGGCAAGGACAAAGCACTTGGCGTATCACTGAGCGAAGGTCCGTCCAAGCCGTCCACCTTCTTCTTACGTGATAAACGCTTTCCTCGTTTCTTGAGACATATGTTGTCTCCCGTATGTTTCTCTTTTTCTGGTACGACAGAAGACTTGTCCTTGGAGCACGAGACAATCAGGTGAGGGGAGTCAAACATTTCGCCCTTGTCATGGAGCTTCCCTCTCTCACTGATCAACACCATATGTACACCTTCAGGCGTACTATTTCGCATTATGGTGAATTCCACCTTCGCCTTGCCAGTGGGTAACGGTCCAGCTTCCTGGTAAGAACTTGACGAGTCTTTCCCAACGGCTTGAAACCTTCTTTTCGCAGGTGCTTTTGTGTCCCATTCCTTGGAGCGTTTCATGTCCGCGAGAGATTTGTGCAAATGATGCTTCTTGGTCGGTAGCCTGCGTTCCTTTTCTCTGAATTCAACTGAAACCTCCATGTCGATTCGTTCGCGCTCCAACTCAGACAGCCTCGCTCGGGGGATTAAACGGCTTCCAAGGACAGAGCGCCCAGGTACATAAAGCTCGAAATCTAACAACAAATCTTGCCTCGCTTGTGCTTTCTCGACAGATTGGCGACGTTCCGACTCTCGCGTGGAAGCGCCTCCCCTCCTCTTTTTCCTGTCCTGGGAGCGCTCTCTCTCTTGAATACAGTGCCGACGCCCGCCGGGAACGGTCGTATCTGGTGACCTGCTATCTCTTCGTCGCGCCGACGGTTTCTCGGGCTTATCGTTATTCTTGTGCTCACGAGCTCTCTTTGTCTGATCCCGTGTGACTGGTACCGGTTCAACCATGCTAACTCCGGAGCCCTTTTGGGATGTCTTCGTTAGTTGTGGCGTTTGTAAATGGTCTGGTTGATCTCGGCGAAGACGCGGACTCTTCGGCACGATGCTATCCTTGCGCGGTTTGTCCCGTTCTAAGCTTACATCAACTTTCTTCTCCTCGGAGCTTCTCTGAATTGCTGGGACGTTGCTCTTTCGATCATCGTGATCTTTTCGAGGATGTCGAACAGAACTTTTCGGAGACGGAGCGTGCACTGGCGGTGATAATAGCCCATGTTTAACCTTCGATGTCTGCCCCGGCTTTGGAGAGCCTCCCGCTTCGCCCATACGAGGTTTCTTCTTTCCACGTTCTCGCTGTTCCTCTTCTTCCAAACGTGCAAACAACTTCATTGTTTGCTGTAGTTTCCTTTCCTCCCGAGACATGGCTCGACTGGTCGCATGTTCCGCGCTTGTCATGTCATGATCTGTGATCGCATCGCCTGGATTGCCAAGATCAACTCGCATGTTCTGCATCGCATCCGCCTGATCAAGAACCCCAGAAATGGGTCGCTGGCGCTTCTGCGGATTTGTCCGCCCATGGCTCTGTGTTCTTGCATTGATGTTCTCGGAATGTTCCTCGCCAGTCTTATCCCCGTTCTTAGTACGAAGGCGTTTCAGCAACGCATCAAGTCTCGCCACAACCTCTGCTCGGGGTATCTCAAGAAGCAGTACGATTCCTTCAATGACGCTTTGCCGATATTTTCCAAATGGACTTCGTAGCAAAGTTGCGAAGCGATAAAATACTTCACCTTTTGACGGTTGTCGTCCAGTGCTCTTCTCTTTTAGGTCAATCGCAAAGTGTTTGCGCAATTCAAGCGGCTTTATCCCAACCAATATTGAATCAAATTCCTTCGTTGGTTCTCTGATGGCCTTTTCCCTCGCCAGTACTCTCTCTTTGTACTTTCGCTGAGCGACGCAGTTAGGACGAATTTCCTCAGGTCGGCATCTGTCGCAATAGTACTTTTGCACTTTCGAGTTCTCTCCGATGCCCATACACTCAGAGTGCTGCCATGTGTTGCATTCATCACAAGCAATCATTAAACCTGAACTCTCTTCTGATCCACAAGGACATACTGTCTGTTCCGATTCTCCTTCCTCTTCTTCCACTTTCTCCGAATCTGCTCTTTCTACCTCCATCAGTGCCGCCTCCAGGGGAGTGCTTTGTTGTGGGCTTCGCAAAGGTTTGTGTCCGTTCGCTTCGTTGCTAGCGCCATTGCGATCCAAGCTGTCCGTACTTTCAGATATTTGCTGGCTAGCACGTGGTGAGATCTCTGCCTTCACGACTTCCACAGACACCTGGCCCTTCACTCCCTCGTTTTCTCTTTGCGCACTACCTTTCTCGGAGTCGCGTACCTGCTTCGGCTTCTGCCGCCTACGCGTCCCTTTTTCAGGAAGGGCAACCAGTTGATCTATAATCTTTTTCTCCTTCTCATCCTCCGAGTCTGATGAGGTTCGCCCCGGCGATTTGTTTTTTAGGTTCACAATGTCAAAAATTCCGCTTCGGGGTTTTTTGACAGCTTCATCATTCTTCATGATGGGGTCCGATCGATGCTCAGCCGTCTGCGATTCGGTATGGGGCTTTGGCTCCGGACTCGGTACGCGTGCCGGACCCGACAGAGTGGCGTTGACTTCCGCCTGTCTCTTGGCGTTGGCTTGCAAAGCCGGACCGAACGCAGTTTCTATGTCTGGCACTCTCGATACAGCCTTCTCCGACATCGCGGCCCGCTTCTGCGCCACAAGCAGCAGATCATCTTTCGGCATAATGTAGTGGCTGGGATCAATGCTTGGCAACGGGGCCCTCAGACTGTGAGAGTCATGCACTGGAGGGAGTTCTGTTCGCAATCCATGGGGTGAAGGGCCAGACACACCATGTTGGACCGGCACCGGAAGCGCCAGGGATGGTGGGCGCATCACAGAAGATGGTTGGTGCAAAGTCGTCGGAATTGAGTACGGCGGGACATGAACTCCAGACGGTGCGGGCGCAGGCAGATGTGGTTGCGGCAGCGTTGCCGTCGCATGCGGAGGTGGAGCGCTATGGTAGTAGCCCTGATGGTAGTAGTATCCTGCTGGATGACCGTACGTATATCCATGGTGCGGCGGTGTGGGTGGCCAGTAGTCATGTGCAGGCGGGAGCGCACGTTGCGATTCCCAACCAGGTGGTGACTGCTGGAGATGCGAGTGTGCTGAAAGATGGGCGGAAGATGCTTGTAACGAAGGAATAGGCGGGGGTGAAGCATGGTGCATAGTCTCATATGCAGGGCGTGGAGGTGGGATGCTGTAGTGAGCGTTGGCATCAGTTAGCGGGGGCGGGCGAGGTGCCCACTGACTCAGGCTTGCGACACTTGGGAGTTCGTGGCGCATAGGGTGAGAACCAGGTGCACTCGACTGCGGTGGAGGAAGGTAAGGGGCTGGCGGCGGTGGCCGGGCGGCCGGGTGCGAGAGCTCGTGAGGATGATGAGGAGGCGGCGGGTGTGGGAGATGATGCGAGGCGACATAGTGGCTTTGTGGCGGCATTGAGGTGACATGCGGCTGCGAGCTACTTTGCGGCGGATGCGGTGCTTTCGGTTGCTCATCCGGCGGGGGCTGTTGCTGTGGTTGCGAAGAGGCGTGGTGCAAAGGAATGGAGAGGGAAGGCGGAGTTTGAAGGAAGACCGAGTTCGATTGCGGGACGGGTTCGGAGACGTTGGAAGCGGTTTGGTTGGTGTGGAGGTTCTGGGTCGGAAGTTCGAGCGGCGGTGGTTCCCGAACGGAGGGAGGCCCAGGGAGCCGTTGGAGACTTGGAAGACGAACGTTGTTGCCAGCTGCGAGCCCGAGAAGTGCCTCCGCGCCCGCAACGCCCGCATCAGCGTGCGGGTCTGACATTAGTCACGGACGCGGCATGCGGGATGGGGCGCCAGGAGTGAGACGGTGTAGTGGTGGGGTGGGTGGGGGTGGGAGGCGGGGGGGGCGGAGGAGTTGGGCAGCTGTGGGGGGGGGGTCGATATGAGTGCAGTTACGGTTGGCGACGGTGACGCGGGTGTCGGCGGATGGCGCTATGAGATATGCGAGAGGGGGGTCATTCTCAGCGTGTCTTTGAATGTGGTATTGAGTGTTGGCGCGTAGCCTGCGTGTGCTTGGGCGCAGGGGGAATTAATCAAAAAAAGAAAAAAAAGCGGGGAGCGAGCAACGCTCGAATCGAAGACAAGCATTGTGTCACAGCAGGCGAAAAACACACCAAGGGAGGGTGCCGTCGAGAAAAAACAAAAACAAAACAAGGCTGCGCGCAAACTCGCCAACGCACAGCCCCTATCGGATCGAAAGACCGAGGCTCAGCATGACAGTTCCGGATTTCTTCAATTGGACCGTTCGGACCAGACTACGTCGCCCTCCACCCAGGGCACGCACCAGCACCGAAAACCTGTCGCGGCGCGCAAACGCACCGCGGCATCCATCTTCAGCAACGCTTGCCTCGTCCCAGCTCGTCTGCGCCCTCCAACAGGGAGCTGTTTGCGCGCATGGCGGGCGCGTCAAGCGGGCTGTGGGACTCGACATCCACAACCACAGTTGGCGAAGCCCGCCTCCACCTTGCAAGGAGACCTACCCATGCGGGACCCGGACATGAGAGAGGGTACCAGTGTTGCGCGACCGAGGTGTTGAACTGGTAACTGGCGACGAAAGGGTCAGCTTCCACCTTCTCTATCAGGGCCAATTTGTACGTGATGCCCTCTGCCGGGTCCATTCGGGCCATGCGTGTGTCCACATGGCTCAATCCCTCGCCATCCTTCCAGGCTACAGTAGTTCGACACCGAGTAACCGTCCTAGCCCTAAACGACGAAGGTATGATACGGGTTTCTCGACGCCGACGAGTTGCACGAGCCAGAGCCGGATCAGACCCTGCGATCCAATTCCGCAACCGGTCCGCTCGCCGACGCCGTACACGCACCATCTGCCATAGCCACATCCACCTCCCCTTCCCGCAATCGCAGTGACACCCATTCACCGTCTCCCCCACTCCAGCTCGTGCTGCCGATCAACTCATAATGGGTACGTTCACCTCTGTTTCGAAGGAAGGCGCTTCGTCAGAAGCGATGTGGGATGCGCATCCATCGCAACCTTTGCCTGCATCACGCATGCCCGTTCTGATCGGCCCACCCGCGCTGCGTGCCTCACTTGGTGAGGGGTCCAGTGCTGCCTCGGTAGCATCCGCTTTCGAACGAACACTAACTCGCGATTTCTGTCTGTGTGCTCGCCTGATGTAGGTATTTCCCGTGACTCGCGCCACAAGCGCCGCCTGACTGGTGGTAAGCACCCTTACTTCCGCAAGAAGAGGAAGTTTGAGCTCGGTCGCCAACCCTCCATGACCAAGCTCGGCACGAAGCTTGTGCGCCCCGTTCGCGTCCGCGGTGGAAACTTGAAGATGCGTGCTCTTCGTCTCGAAACCGGCAATTTCTCCTGGGGCTCTGAGGGTTTCTCCGGCAAGTCGCGTATTCTTAACGTCGTTTACAACGCTTCGAACAACGAACTGGTCCGTACCAACACCCTTGTGAAGGGGTGCATCGTTCAGATCGACGCCACCCCATTCCGGCAGTACTACCACAGGCACTATGGCATCGATATTGGAAAGAAGAAGGCCGGCGAGGGTGCTGGCGAGGTCATTTCAGCGAAGAGAGCTGAGAAGCAAAAGAAGCGCGCGGAAGGTCGCTTGGAGCTCGACCAGGGTGTCGCCGATTTATTCCAATCGGGACGACTTCTTGCATCCCTTTCCTCCCGCCCTGGACAGTGCGGTCGCGCCGATGGATACTTGTTGGAAGGGAAAGAGCTTGAGTTCTATACTAGGATGATGCAAAAGAAGAAGAAGGCTGGCAAATAACTTGTTCTTTGTTGCGGTCTGGATTGTGCCGTTGCACGCGGGATAGCATATGCATCGACGATCGTAGAATTCAGTCCTCTTGGCTGTATGCAGTCTTTGTCTCTACGTTTTACGCCTCGCGCGATCCATGTTTTACTAAAGGAACTCGTATAGTTGCTGTGCAAAACGCGTCCCAAAAAGCGATTGGGCTCCTCGCATGCCCACAGGAGTCGACTACGAAGTGATGTCTTCTTTCCGCGAGGAGATAGTGCAGGAGACGTGAACCATCTGGACCACTTCCTACACAAAGGAGCGACTTCGTTCTTTGTGACTCTGATAGCGAGCTCTCACCTCTAGTAGAATTGAGGTTGAAGGAGAACTAGCTTCTGAAGGAGAACTGGCTCCTGAAGGGAGGTCTTAGCCAGGGAATCTGAATTGCTGCTTGATATTCAACCTCTCCGAAGTGTCTCTGGAGTGCGGAGGCCACCTGAGAATCCAGAGAAACTGCGACAAGAAGACTTGTGTAGCGACATCTTAAAACAGAGAGTAACATGACTCCTGGCATAGTTCCCGCATCCATTTTAGGAATTTTGCTGCTACTAAACTGGCAACCAAGTTATTCGACGCTCAAAGTATTCCAGTTGACGCGACCAAAATTGCTCTACTTACTCTGTAGAGCTGATGTGAGGATTAGTGAAAACCTTCACCCGAGACGGACCCCAATATAAGGGCCATTTCCCCCAATCCATACAGTACTTTTGCCAAGATCTCTAGGAATAGTGAAGGTCTAGCTGGCCTACGACACTGCTTCGTCAGCACTAGACATCAGTTATTTTCCTTGTCATGCTACGCAAGGGTATTCTTTCTTCAGAGAAAGAAGGAAATTCCCCCGGGCAGAACGTGATCGGCAGGGCAGACAGAAGTCAAGTCTTGGATCTGTAAGCACAGTGACAAATGTCATCATTTCGATGTAAGGAAGCTGCTCAGAAATATTTGGATCAAATTTCTGAACAATTTGGTGGAAAGCAACCTTTTGGTTCCAGCTTCTCCGTTGCAGTGCCACTCCAGCTGATTGGGATGACAATCGCATAGGCAAGAGTTGGATAGATGGAGTATCTTCGTAAGCAGCAGTGAAGTGCGTCTGTTATCGCTGATTCACGCCCTAGGGTCACCCAGCTTATACCAAGCCTCAAGAATCGGTTGATTCGGCACCTGTCATTACTTCTGCGTCTGGGAACCAAATCGCAGATCTTAGCTTCGCTCTGTTTTCTCACAATGGGAGCCGCTGTCGAGACAATTGTTCCGAGCTCTGCAGCTCCCGCTCTCTCGCTGTTAGAAGAACAAGAGCCGATCTTGCTGGCGCATGCCTTGCGCTCACTCAATGATCTCGCCGATTCGTTCTGGCCCGAGATTTCAGGTGCAGTTGGCAGAATTCAAGAGCTCTCCCTTGATGAATCGTTCATGGAGAGGCCGCTAGCCGCGATCGTTGCGGCGAAAGTCAATTTTCATCTGGGATCTCTCGACGAGGCCTTGCATTACGCGCTATCAGCGGAGAATTACTTCGATGTCGACGCTGAGACTGAATTTGCGAACACTCTGCGCGCTCGATGTATCGATGATTACATTTCTTTCAAGCGAAAGCAGAGTGAAGGTATCGCGGAAGGGCCAGTTGGAGCCAGTGCTGATCACACCTTTTCAGCCGAACTTGAATCTGTCGTTGAAAGGGTCCTGGCCGGTTGTATTCAGAAAGGGGAAATTCACGAAGCAATAGGCGTATCGATTGAGTCTCGGAGGCTTGATAAGGTGGAAATTGCAATTGCTGAAGGGTGCAGAACTGACGAGGCAAAGATGGAGGCACTGGCGTATTGCTTCGAATGCGCTCAAACATTGATATCCTCTAGAGCGTATCGTTCCAAGCTCCTCAATCTTCTTGCTTCCTTGCATACCCAACATTTTCCCATTGAGAAGCGCAATTTCATTGCCGTCGCGAATTGCTACGCATTCGTTGGAAATGCGAAAGGCGTTGCCGATATTCTCATGGATCTAGTCAGCGATAAGTCTGCGGCTGGCAAGGAAAAAGAGAATATCATGGAGCTAACAGCATTACAGATTGTGTTTGATATTGTTGATAACGATGCACCGTTCTTTGCCTCGGAAGTAATGTCACTATTGCCCGTTCCACGTGCAATTCCGGATCCGCCCACTGCTTCTGAGAGCACTCCTGCAGCAGCAGAAGGAGATGACCCAGTGCCTATGGAAACCGATACCCCGTCCTCTGGTGATCCACCATCTGCTACGCCTGAAGCAGTAGCTGTGACCCCAGCCATCACCTTAACAGCTGAAGAAAAGAAGATCGCCAAGCTGCGCAAGATTCTCAATGGCGAAGTATCGGCAGAATTGCACCTCGACTTCTTGTGCAGCAAGAATCACTCGGATCTCTATTTACTGAAAAAGATCAAGGCTGCTCTTGATGGCCGCAGCAGTGTATGCTACTCGGCTCTGCTGTTCTCCAACGCGATCGCCCATAGTGGGACAGCTATTGACAACTTTCTACGAGGAAATCTAGATTGGCTAGCTCGTGCGACTGCATGGGCAAAGTTCTCAGCTACCTCTTGTCTGGGTGTCATCCACGGCCGGCACACATCTGCTGCTCTCAATCTTCTATCACCTTACCTGCCGTCGAATTCAGGTTCCAGGGGGTCTGCGGCTACCTCCTTTCAAGAGGGGGGTGCCCTCTACGCTCTGGGACTCATTACGGCAACGGGAGGTAGAAACGCTCAGCTTCGTGCAGATCCTTCTGGACCAAATACTGCCAAGGAATATCTGCTTGAAGCGTTGAAAGCTATTGAGACAAGTGACGTGGTCAAGCATGGGGCTTGTCTAGGGCTTGGTCTTTCTGCAATGGCTTCTTGGGATGGGGGGGAAGAAGAGAACCAGTACTATGAAGAACTGAAGAACGTTCTATACACAGACTCAGCAGTGGCAAGTGAAGCTGCTGGTCTAGGAATGGGTCTTATCGCTCTGGGCTCTGGTTCTGACAAGGTTGCGAAAGAAATGCTTGCGTACGCTGTGGATACGGAGCATGAGAAGATTATTCGTGGCCTTGCCCTCGGAATGGCGCTCGTGTGCTACGGCCGGGAGGATGACGCGGACAGCATTATCAAAACCATGAATGAGGACAGTAACCCCATTCTCCGTTATGGTGCCATGTACGCAGTAGCCCTAGCGTACTGCGGAACGGCAGACAACAAGGCCATTCGATTGTTACTGCATTCTGCTGTTTCTGATGTCAGTGATGATGTGCGTCGAGCTGCAGTTATTGGTCTTGGGTTTGTACTATTCAGACATCCGAAACTCCTGCCGCGAATTGTAGCACTCCTAGCAGAGAGTTGCCATGCGCATGTAAGATTCGGCGCTGCTCTGGCCATTGGTATTGCCTGCATGGGGACTGGCATGCCAGCTGCTGTTGAGATGTTGGAGCGCTTGACCGCCGACCCAAGCGATTTTGTTCGTCAAGGAGCACTCATCGGAATGGCGCTTGTCTACATGCACCATACGGAAGACAGATCCCCCAAGGCGGCAGAGATGAGGAAGACGTTTGAAGCAACGTGGAGCGCGAAACTGGAAGACGTGATCACTCGTTTTGGAGCAGTCGTTGCAGTGGGACTGGCGGATGCTGGTGGGCGAAATGGTGTGATCGCATTGACATCGTCAACAGGTCACCCTCGTATGTCTGCCATAGTTGGTCTTGCCATGTTTACACAGTTTTGGTATTGGTACCCTATGGTACATTTCATTGGTTTAAGTATTAAGCCTTCGGCGCTGATATGTCTAAATCAGGACGTCAAAATGCCCAAGCTGAAGGTTCAGTGCAATGCTCAAGAAGGAATGTATGCATATGTCCCATCAGGGCCTCCGGAGAAAACAAAAGAGGTATCATCGGCACCTAAAGCAGTCCTGAGTACTACAGTAAAGTCAAAAGCTCGTGCTGCGCGAAGGGCAGCCAAGAAGAGGAGCACGGAGGAGAAAGCAAGCGGTCAGGGTGATTCCATGACTGATGCGAAGATTGAAGCCAAGCCGGAGAATGCTGAAGAATCGGGAGATGGCAAAGACCCGATGGAGGATGAGAAGAAAGCTGTGAAGGAGGAAGGCAGCCCGAAGAAGGCGAAATTCACAGTCCATGAAAATCCATGCCGAGTTCTACCCGAGCAAGAGAAGTACATGTCGTGGAATGTCACAGCACCTGATGCCGAAGGCAAAATAACAAGACGCTATGACCCTGTTGTCAGTGGACGGTTCTCAGGGATTGTCATGATGTCGGATAGATCTCCAACTGAACCTGAAGACATCGTGGAAATGCAGACATTGAATACGGCTCCGCAGCCAGTCTCGACGCCACAGACGCCGGCTGTCCTGCTCAACGCAAACGATCCCAATGATGAAGAGGAGGAAGAAGAAGGTGAGGAAGTGCCTCCACCAGAGCCCTTCGTCTACAGGGATGAGGCTGATGAGTCGAAGAAGGATGATGAGGAAAAGGATGGTGGTGACTCTGCAAGTAAAGAAGATGCGGACGTTAACATGAACGATTCGGGGGATGGGCAGACGTCAGTGTAGTGGTATCCGAGGACACTAAAACCTGACGTTAAGTCTTTGTGGGTGTTTTGCATTTTGCCCGTCGACGGGATTTGTGCAGCCGAAGTCATAATGATGTCGATTTAGTCTGTTGCAGGTTGTGTACTGGTAAGTATTCACGGGACTCTGAATGAAAGAAAAGACGAAGCCTGATGATGTCCTGGTGCTGAAGTGAGGCCGGACGCTCGGAGTGAAGTGAAAGACATGGCTGTATAGTCACGTGTGGCCTAAGTCTGTGTGGCTCCTGATGCCGCTTTGGCAAGTTCGCTGTGCGGAGATTCACACTAAGCCTCTCGAGATCGCTGCGGGGCATCGTCTCGGAAGACGCCAGTCTTTTTCTATGCGGCTGCTTTGTGAGAATTTACGCTATCCCTTTGTCGCGACGAGAGCAATCAGGGCTGGCGGCGATACTGGACCGTGCGCAGCACGGCGTACCGGCACGGCAAAATGCGTAGGCGAGTATCAACTAGAAGCGTGATTTCTGGTAAATTTTTGTGCTATCTTTTTTATGTAGTGTGATCGCCAACCAATGCAAAAAATTAGCACAAGGCTCTTGAAACGAAATGGCGGGAAACTCATTTCATTTCACCATGCTCCTCTAAGCAAGTGACCCCACAATGGCTTTCTCCTTCCATTCCTTCCCCATCCTCACCCTACCGTTTCCCATTCCTGCGTAATTCCAACTACAAACATCATACCAATGAAGGAGGACGCAAATAACGACAAGGCCTCCGATGCCGCTCAGTCGTCAGCCAATTTCAAAGGTGACATCCTCTTTTGCGGTTCGACCAAATGGGACCTTCTCGGCCGCAAGACTATTCCCAAGGTCGTCGCCAAACGCGGTGGCACGACTGCCGGCGACGACCTTCTGGGACCCTCCCGCATGCGCTTCGCGGGCCTGCCTGACAAACAATTCACAGCCGTCTTTTCGGGATGCGCCGCCGCTCATTTTGTCCTCGTCGACGTCGAGGGTGTCGCATACGGTATCGGACGAAACGACAACGGCCAACTTTCGCGCGCTGACCTCAAATCCCGTAAGCATCCTGTCAAATTTCACCTTCCGGGTATAAAGGAGGGCGAGCGCGTCATGCATGCGGCGTGCGGAAGGCAGCACACGCTCCTCGTCACATCCGAAGGGCGTGCGTTTTCGGTTGGCACCAACGCCTTTGGACAGCTCGGCAACGGAAGCAAAACGGAGCTGAAGAAACCCGAGGTCACTGAATGGCAAGTTGTGCAGCTGCCTTCCGACGAGAAGACTATCTGCGCGGCCGCTGGTGCAGAGTTCAGCGCCTTTGCGTGTGAGAGCGGTGCAGTATATGCCGTTGGTAGCGGACAGTACGGCCAGCTGGGGAATGGCCGCACGGGGGAGTTCATTACGTCTGGAAATCGCATCGCGTTTGACGTGATCATGACACCAGTCCGTGTGCTCGGCTTTGGAAGCGGCGAGGGGGAAATTAAGATCAAACAAATTGCATGCGGGACTAATCACACGCTCGCCCTAGATACAAAGGGCAAGGTTTGGAGCTGGGGTTTTGGCGGGTACGGGCGCCTCGGACATAAAACTCCCAAAGACGAGCTTCGACCGAGGCGGATAGAGACCTTCGATAGCTCGACGTATAGTCTGGATATAATTACGTGTGGGCAGTCTTCTTCATTTGCTGCGCAGAAGAATCGGAAGAGTTGCTATATGTGGGGCATGACCAAGCGCACTGGGGAGACAAACATGTATCCGAAGCCACAATTCGATCTGCAGGGATGGGAAATCCGTAGTCTGGCGTCCGGGACTACGTCCACTGTCGTTTCGGCGGAACGTAGCGTCATCAGTTGGGGTGGTAGTCCAACGTTCGGAGAGCTCGGGTACGGGGAAGGGAAACCCAAGTCAAGCACAAAACCGCAAGTCATGGCTAGTCTCGAGGGTTTGTTGGTGAGCCAAGTCACGGAGGGTATGGCGTTCACTGCCATGCTCGTCTCCGCGGAAAATGACGACGAAAAGAAGATATTTGATGCATTGCCGGAGTATGCCGTTGAAAACGAGGGAGTCGAAAACGACGATGAGAGCGGTGCCGCAGGAAAAAGGAAGCCGGAAAACGAGAACGGACGGCCAAAGCCTAAATCTCGGAAAAGGCGAAGGTAGAGTGGCCGGTATACGGATGGCGCGAGTGGTACTGTATATTCCTGGAAGGTGAAGCATAGATTGCCATAGCATAGATCGCCATGGAAGTCTTGAGAAGTGCCGGACTGAAAATTCGCACAATTTAGTTCCAAGCTTCTCGTTCCAAGTCTTCAACCCCACGTTGCATAATATGAACAGGAACCAGGGCAAGATTAATACACCGGGTCTTACAGCAGGATTTCGTCAACCCTCTAAGCGACCCATCTTCTGTACATTGCCAATCAAGTTCCAGCGCATGTGGGTATGGTCTATGAGAAACATCCACGAGAAGGAGCTGAACGTACAATACCAAACGGGTCTCTCTTGCTGCACAACGTATCTCGCGAACGTTTCAGCAGCCTCTGCTCTCAGTGCTTCGCCTTTTCATTTGGGCAAAACGCTAATTGCTCTTTCATATATATATATATATCAGGGCTAGATTCAAGCAGTAAACATCGAGCCAAGTTTTATATATCCGTAGCTCGTATATTCAGACTTCTTTATTTGGTGAAAAATGTCCCCTCTTTCCAATTTTCCGAACCCGTGTGGGCATGCAATCTCGAGCGTAGGCACGCCGCGAATCTGGAATTCCCATGCTTTGCAGGTCTAGAAAGCAGTGCCTTAATGCGATATGTTTTCCTTTCGTCGCAGTGCAGATCATATTCCAAGATTTAGGTTTATCTGAGACAGAAGAGGACGAGTATCTCTAACAAATCAAAAGTACAAATATGAGATTGATGAAAGAATACCCATCATCTTCTCCTCTTCTTGAAGCTCATCGTTCCTTGATTCCATTTTTAGAAGAACAATTTTTCCAAAAGCTATGAGTGGTGCTGTGGGACAAAAGTGAATAACTGTTCTCTCTTCAACTTTCTCTCTGCACTCCCTTACTACACAATCTATTGTTGTCGTCACTCTCTGTCTCGCTACAATAACGTTCAATCAATAGAGGAAGTGAAGTATCATGCAGCGTGATGGTTTTCGTACTAGGCGAAATTGTTGAAGTATTCTTTATAATTCGTTTCCATTGTTTAATTTTATAACTGGGAAGCATAGACTCTCTGATGGCGGGGTTAGTTACACACGAGGAAGGCATGAGAAGTACAAGATGAAACACAAAGTTAGAGTCATCTCGGAAACAGAAAAGATTTTCCATGCTTTTTGAAATGACCAGGGCCGCAGCCCCCCACCCTATAGCAAGGAATTTGCGAAACATCTATTTCATATAAAAAGTATTTATTAGAGCCCTACGGCACCATCTCATATATTCCATCTCAATGCTTCCCTTTGGAGTTATAAGTGGTTCCGCCGTCTTCGTTTTCCCTATTGCTGGTGAATGATTGCTTCAAAGAGTTTTCGCATAGGTTTGCGGCCAGCAGACAGCTTTACCAATGAAAGGTCCAGTACCACTCTCTTGTCCAATTAAAACATGACACCCGTCATGTTTTGGAAGTCATGGCACTGGTAGAGTGTGTGTGAGATTGCGATCTTCTTCGCCACCAATTGAGTCGAGCTCCACTTGTGCTCAGAATCGCCTCCAAGCTGGTGCCTGTGCGACTAGTTTTTGCAGGTCCACGTCTTACAGAACAGCTCCACTTTGTGACTGGAGGTGTTGCAGAGCTTTGAGGTAGGCGACGAGGAAAACAGGCGGTTGTACCTCTGAAGTGGCGGAAGGATGGTGGCGATGTCGCTTACGCCATTGTGCCGCGTTCGGCCGTCTTTTGTGTCACCGCTTGCTCCAGGTCGATCCTCTTGGTGTTTTGGAAGCCCTCTTATTTCTCCGCGATATGCGTTGTCCAAGAGACCGCCCTGTCCAGTTTCGAAGAAGTCTCGCCGTGTATCCACAACGATGTTGTTTGATGCACTGTCGGAACGCATGACTGAAACCGTTCGTCGCATGCGTGGCGTAGATAAGATAACAGAGAAAAACGTCACTGGCGCAATGAAAGACGTGAAGCGCGCTTTGTTAGACGCAGACGTGAACCTCCGTGTTGTCAACGCCCTTCTGAAACAGATTAAGGCGCGGGCCGTCGGTGCTGATGTCACCCCTGGCGTTGAACCTGGGCAGATGCTTGTTAAAATCATGCACGAGGAGCTCACAAAGATTATGGGAAGTAATCAAGCCCCTTTGGCGAATCGCACGGACGGCGAACCAACTGTGGTGTTGTTGGCGGGTTTGCAGGGTGCCGGAAAGACTACTGCTGCTGCAAAGCTTGCGCTATACTGTCTGAAAGAAGAACGGTCTGTTATGATGATTGCGGCAGATGTGTATAGGCCCGCTGCTATTGATCAGTTGAAGACTCTCGGGAAGAGCATTGAGGTTGACGTGTTTCAAATGGGTACAGACGTTAATCCCAGGGAGATTGTGCGGAAGGGCCTTCAGGAGGGGAAGACCAGAAAGATCAATACCATTATTGTTGATACTGCAGGAAGGCAGGTCATCGATGCAAAGCTGATGAAGGAGCTCAAGGATATCAAAAGTGTGAGCAAAGCCGACGAAACTTTGTTAGTCGTCGATGCTATGACTGGTCAGGAGGCCGCTACATTGACGCGCTCGTTTAACGACGAGGTTGGTATTACAGGGGCTATTCTCACCAAGCTCGACGGAGATACACGTGGTGGTGCAGCTCTTTCTGTACAACAAGTTTCAGGGTCGCCTATCAAATTCATAGGCGTTGGTGAGAAAGTTCAAAAGCTGGAACCGTTTTATCCGGAAAGAATGGCATCCAGAATCCTGGGAATGGGGGATGTTTTGACAATTGTTGAAAAGGCGCAAGACGTTATGGACGAAGCTGAAGCAGAGAAAATGACTAGAAAGATGATGGAGAATAAGTTCGACTTCAATGATTTCCTGAAGCAGACTAAGATGCTTTCACAGATGGGGTCGTTGGGGGGCTTGATGAAGATGATGCCGGGTATCGGCGGTCAAATCAATGAAAGCAAGTTGAAGGAAGCGGAGGTAAAGCTGAAAGTGGCTGATAGCATCATTAAGTCGATGACGAAGCAGGAGCGGGGCAACCCAGAGCTTTTGTACACAGCGCCAAGCTCTCGAAGCCGTGTAGAGCGCATTGCGAATGGATCTGGAAGATCACTTGCGCAAGCCAAAAACATGATATCCGATTTTCAAAAGATGAGAACAATGATGCAGCGAATGAGCAAGCAAATGGTAGGTGGGCCCGATGGGACGCCCGCTGAAGGCGCTCCAGGTAGTAAGAATCGTGCCCAGCGTCGACGAAACGCAAAGAAGAAGGCCTTGCGAGGCGGCGAGAGGCGCGGATTCGGCTAGTAGAGATACCGGAGACGGGTATCGGCATATGTTACGGCTCATTAAAGAATTCTCCTAACTTTTGTTTTTCAACCCCGCAAAACCTGGGCAGCTGACTAAAACGAGAGAATTTGGAAGCTGGAACTATCGAATGAGTCGCCGGCTCTACATTGAACCCATCAACGAAACACTAGGTATACGAAGAGCTTGTGTTTCTCGAGTAGCGTCGGACTGAACTTGAGAATAATGTTTATAATTTTTGCAGTTCGTACTAAATGCCAGGATCTCTCTGTCGTCAGAAATGTAGGCCTGGGAAGATGCGTCTTGAGATGAAATGCTTCTATATTTGCAGGGAGTTGAAAGGATAGAAAAGCTTATGTATGCCCCTCATCACGCTGATTATAAAGGAGGCCACTTCAGATTTTAGACCGGTGTATCTGTAAAACCGCACATGACCCCATCGGTCAATTTAGTAACCAAATATGCTCGCAAGAACCGGTCCTATCTTGCCGTCCGACGAGCTCCATCTGTGGATTTTCATTCGGCTTTTTTCATTGTTTCATCCATCACAAGAACCTGAAACGATGGATTGGGCCACGTTTGGCTGGGGGTACAGTTTTGATGCCTGTCTCCGAGGACCTCGGAGTCCAATCCCTGCGGATAGATGGACCGCAATAGGGCCAAGACACAAGAATTGAGTGAACTATTTTTTACATTTCGTTCGAGGTGGAGACCTTCGCGCGCATTTTCTGGTGAG